GTAGGTTAGTCTACAAACGTCGCCTAAAGTAATTGATTTTACCCGGCAGAACGAAAGAAGGAAACTCCGCTTTTCAGTCGTCTTAGGCACTCGTTTTTTGACAAACAATGACCTTTCAGGAGGTCAAATTGCTGTCAAGAATATGAATTGGCTGCTTCGCAGCAATCAATCTTTCAATATAATATGTTTTTAAATTTCATACATTTGTTATGGATTGCATTTTTATACAGGATCTAGACATCAACTAATGTCCAAGTGGAGTACCTTTATCTTATTTATCATATATTCATCTTATCATTTATGTTTATGTCATTAATTTCTGTAGATATGGTGGAGGACATCAAGGAAGTTCGTGTTGGCCATGAAACTGACACTTTCAAAGCCCGCCACACGTTCCCGAAAGAAACATGTTTTTCGGTGATAATCGGCGTGAACAATAAGAGCTTAAACTTGGTTGCACGTTCGGCGGAAGAAGCAAAGGCTTGGGTCGAAGGATTGAAGTATGCAATGGCTCATTCCAAAGCTATTGACATCCACAAACAACAACAAATGTATCCTTCCGTCATTTTTTTGGCTAACAATAACATTCACTTACTGATTAATGGAAAGTTCCTGTGTTTATATAGTATGTGTGTGTTTTATGTATTTGTATAACTAGTGTATTATATCAGGAACTATTGTACAATATTCAAATAATTTTCTGAGTTAAAGGGAAAAAAAAGAAACTTTCATAATTTAATAATTTATAAGTTTAAAAATACTGACAAACCGAATGAAAGAAAAAGTTTGACAACAACAATTAATGTATCCAGTGACTTCACTACTTTACTACCACCAATCCACCACTACTACTACCATCATAATTGTCATTACCGCTGTATTACTATAGTACTACTGGTACTGCTACTATTGCTACTACAGTACTATATTAATCAGCTGTCAGCTGTTGGCATCCTCTACTCAAAGCATGAGTAGTCCAGTTAATATTGATCTCCACACCTTTCTCTCATAATCATAATAAATATGATTTGTATATAGTTCACAGGCTATATCACCAGAGAATGCAAAAGATTATATACAAATATGTGTTAACCCATAACACCAATTTATTAAACAATTTTATTAATAACATATTCTAGAAAAAAACATTTAAAAACATGAAAGTAGAGGAGCACCATAATTTCCCAGCATGTTGAGGCCTAATGAGGGCTTCACTCAAGGGCCTTGCCAGCTCATCATTCACAGGAGTACTAATTATACTGGTAGCTATTCCTAAACAAACATAGGACAATTATAAGTTACTACCACTACTATTGCATGCTACTGTTATCATTGCTACTACTAATTCAATATTAACCTCATTAATATATTAATATATATTAATATTATATCATAATATTATATCATATTATTCTCATTAATGATATGTTGTCTGTGTTTAGGTGATAAACAAGAACAATAAAATTCACGACTCCTTTCTATTCTCAAGGTCAAGATATACAGTAGTTGGAAAATAACTCATAAAGAAACGTAATATATTTCTTATCCAGGCAGCTTGAAAGAGAGGGTGATGCATTTTTTTTCTCCTGGGTCTAAAGCCTCCATGATAAATGGTATTGGTAATGGTGGGACTATATTACATAATACATGGTGTCCATGCGCTGAGTAAACTAAAATAGCAAAATCTGTTCAAGCAAGACAGCTAAACTAACAACAGTGCTAAAATAGAAATCTTACAGACTAACATAGAGGAAGTGACACTATCGCACCGTTTACCTGCAGTTTCGGTGGTGCTTCAAGTAGTATTTACCTTACTACTGCTCTGCCTCTAGATTTGTCCTTTGAATTTAACTTTTCAAGAATTTTCACTGTAATTTGATAACTAATCAACCTAATTCTTTTGTTTATGTAGTTACATTCATATGTTTAAGCTATTTTCATTCTCATTTTTCCTTTAGCAATATATTTTTACTTAATTAACAAAATTCAGATGGATACGGGATTATTTCTTGAAAGCTGACACAAATAAGGATGGCACGTTGGACTTTGACGAGTGCTTTAAACTTTTGAATAAAATGAATATGAAAATTGATAGAAGTCACGCCAAAAAACTGTTTAAGGTTATTACATGTAGTATATAAGTATTCGCAAAAATAATTGATTTAATAATTATACCTCTCAGTTTATATAGTTCATAATTGTAGTTAAACCCCTTGTTTGAGATTCACTTTACAGAGAAGTAACAAAATGGATGTTTTTAGTACTATTTATTCAGTTTCTCTCTTTGGATTTACAAAATAATGCACTGCCACCCAAAAAAAGAGAGAAAAAAACTATTAAAAATATTGTTGGAAATGCTATTAGCAATTTCTTTGTCTATTTCCTCACAAAGGTTATGGATTTTGAGTAGTGCCTTTTTGATCGAATTATTAAAATTGCTCATTTGAAAGATCCATATTAAGTTATCAAATTTCGTTGACAATGAAAATTGTTGGCAGAAATTTAAGTGTGCCAAGAATACAAAAATGCCTGTTAATTGACAAGAAAATTTGTTTCCACAATAAACCTAACATTGAAATATATAAACTAAGCAATTATATCGGTAGATAAGTTCCTGAACATTTGAAAATGTTCTAATATTGTTAATTTAACCTGGAGGTAGATTAGAATTGAAATATAAAATTACTGATGCCGGTATGTTCTTGTTTGAACAGGAAGCAGATGCGAGGAAAAGTGAAACAGCTTCTGGAAAAATTGTTGAGAATCGTCTTGATATTGATGAATTTGTTGAGTTCTACAGGAAAATTACTGACAGAACTGAGCTCAAAGAAGTATTCAACAAGTAAGTTTAAAATTACTTTATTTAGTGGTCATTTAGGTATAGAAAATAAATCATTACTATATAGGGTAATAATGTTAAAGGGGTAATAATTTTAATACGCTGTGTATTACTAATTACTGCAGTAGTTGGCGCAGCATTTGTGTTTTCGGGCTCACAACCTTGAGGTCGTGGTTTTAAGTCAGTCAATTGATCATTCAATCATTAATATTTATATAGGGGAAAATACAATCACCACTTTGCATTTGTTTGTATCCTTAAGCGAGGTACTTTACTTAGTTTGTCTGTCTCCTCTTAGGAGTATGGGTACTGAACTTGGTAGGATGTGATATCAAATGTATTTTTGCAGCGCAACTAGATTTCTCTGCAGAGAGTTAAGCATTAATTACTGTGCGATTGACCAGTTTATGAATCCTTTGACAAGGGGTATAGTAGGCCCGTATCCCTTTGTAAAGCTGGACCCTCGTTGCGCCTGACGGTTGTTGGCTGACACAAGTCCGTGGGGAACACAACACCATGGCAAGCACAAAAGATATTTTTTAATGATTTGTTCAGACTGCCACAGTAAACGGTGTTGCGTCGATGGGGTTGCGTGGTCTAGCGCTCACACGGAATGGAGTAAGGCTTGTACAGCCGCCGTACAACGCATTGAGTCCCCAGCTTAAAAGGCGCAGTAAAAATTAGCCTAAATTGTGTCACTACTGTATCACGAGTACTTTCACAAATATCTTACTTATAAAAAATATGAGTAGTGCTCAGTTATATATAGACATTAAACAAAATTATTGTTAAGGGAAAATTACTGTAGTTATTTCTTAAAGAGTGCAGAAGTTGGTTGGTTGTCTCAACTATTTGTGAAGATAAGATCTGGAGACAGGAATTATATGGGAAATTGGCAAACGATAGCTCAGACATCAACTCAATTATGCTAAATGATTCTCAGACATACATTCTATGCATTATATATAGGTTAATGAAAATAGTCATATAGCAGCTATCTTTAAAGTAGTTGAATATTTTTGTCTACAGTAGCTGTTGAAAAACTTTGTTAATTCCCTAGAAAATATGTGAAAGTTGTTTTGAGATTGGGCATGGCATTTTCGGTTATTTTGAGTGCAAATGCTTATTATCATACTCGTCAAAGGCTGCTTTAAGAGGGGAGGGGTGATTGTTCTCTGTCTGTCATCGTATTACAGGAAAGTGCAAGAGAAAGAGTAAGAGCCAAGTTAAAGCCATAAATTTGTAATAAGAATTTTCTACACGTTTTTATGTGGTGCTTAATCAAGTGAGGTCTTATTCGATTATAAATGCTATATAAATAGTCCTACAGAAACACCATATGTTATAATTTTATAATATATTTAGTTATATAAATTAAACAGGACAATTTAACCTAATAAAATTCCTGAAGGTTTAGTCACATGGTTAAATTGAGACACTTCACTATGTTTCGATTTTCATGCTTCCCTGCTTCCCTACATGGAACGGAAATTATTCAACTACTTGAGGAGAGTTAGGAAGTAACTTAACTGAAAACACACATGACACTTTAGTATAAGTTAACATTAAAGACTGTAACTGGGGAAGAATAGTTCAACCTTTTTTTTGTATGTTAGTAATCGTAATTGATGAAGTAATTTTTTATTTTTACGTGATATGGGCATGTGTTCGAATGTTGTAGGTTAAGAACTGTATGGATTCAGATGCTAATGTGTTAAATTTAATTTGTTTAGTTAATTTTCTTAGAGAGAAGCCATTTAACAATCCAGTTACAATATAAACATATAGCGTAATAATAATAATAATAAAATAATATTGCATAATAATTATTATTGTAACAATAATTATAAATATATTTCAACTTATAATTGTATATCATGGCACCCATATATTTGATAATGTGTTCAAGAGTAACAGAATATTAAGGTATAAAAATACATTTAAAAATTTATAATAATCCAAACAAATATGAAAATGATAAATCAACAACTAACATGGTACTTGATGACTGCCATATAGCAATGCCAAAGACCAATTTTCTTCTATAAAAATTTTCAGCAGAAAAATATATAGTAAATAACACACATGACCAATTTGCTGTACCATTTGAATTGAGTTCACATTTCAAAATATAATTATTTTTAAAATTACTAACTTAATTAGTGAAACATTCCAAAAACTACCTAACCAATTATTAAAACATCTAAGTTAACAATGTAATTCACTTAAAACTACATACAATATTTATTTCAAAAGAGTATTTCTAGTATGACTATTATACTAGATAGTACAAAGTAGTTTTAGAAGTTCTGTAATTTCCATAAAAGTCATTGTTGATAAATATATTATTTTATTTACTCATGTCCGTTCATATCGCTATTAGTTATTAATTTAGTGAGGAAAAGGAATTTCAAGTCTTATTTTGGTGGTAGAGTGGCATGCCTTTTTGGCAGCAGTGGTTCATGCAATAACAATGTTCCTTACTCTCAGCCATGCATTGTACATACAGTTTGTACATACATGTCTATATTTGCATTCCCATGAATGAATCATTGATTTTAATGCTATTATAGGCCTATCATACATTCAGGTTTTTTTTAGTCTGATCATTTTATGATGTCTGCATTGTTATATTTTAAAAACCATAACAAAAACTTATTGTGCTTTAACCGAAACCAAACACGGCCTAGATTTAGGCTGCCTGTTTACAGATTTAAACACTATTCAGTACTTTTTGCTTGTGGGCGGATGGATAACCTTGTAGAGCTGTGAACAACGTCCTTTATTGTCTCCTGTTATTATCTGCAGTGTTTAGTTATGCTGGTTGGTATTTAACTACACTTGTACACATGTAGAGTATATTTAGCTCTGTAGAAATTATGTACTATATGAAAGAACAGCACTTAAATGTTACTTGTTTCAAATTGGCAAAATGGGACTTTTCATTTTGTGTGGCCTTAGTGTATGTGGTGTGTCTGGGTATGTGTTTGCATGTTTGAATCATGGTGAAAAATACGGTAGTTAATATTATGGTGGGGGAGTGGGGTTTGTGGTGAGAGCTTGGATAAGGCACTCCAAATTGATGGTAACTTAATTAAGAATGTGAACATAGTGTAATTCAGTTGTTCTTCATTTGGACCAAGATCTAATTAAATTTTGTTTCTCTACCCTGCTCTACCAACTAAACTACCTAGTGTATTAATTTTCATTCAGTCCTATTGTTGGTAAAACCCTATATATTTAAGACTATCATTTTGTAACTAATAAACATTCTGTTGTAAAATTATGGTAATAATGATGGAAGAAAGTATGAACTTAGTACATATTCGGTTTAAAGAAATATACATATCAGGTATTTAGATTTTCCCACACAAAGAAACAATTTTCACAGTATTAATAAATTGAAATAAAATTACATATATAATGCAGAAATATTTTTTTTTGTTCTAATGGGCATATAACAAGATTGTTCACATGTAGAAAATGAAGTTTGCTTTATGTAAAACCAAAATATATTAGCTAAAAGTTGAAGGAAAGTTTATCATATTTAATAAAAATGATGGTTGACTTATAAAGCGCATATTGTGGAGACCTCAATGCGCTTAACATTATCACCCCTGATCATTGGATCAAGCACATATGGAACACATACTCAGGTCCCTTGGGAGAATTCCATAATGTTGCAGTTGTAATCAGCACATTTTGTGTTTGAACTTACCAGGTACCCACTTGTAGTCCTGGTTGGAGAGAGACAACCGTAGGTAAGTGCCTTGCCTAAGGACACACACTACTTACACAGTGAGGGATTGAACCACTGACTTCAAGGTTGAGAAGCAGAGCTGCAACCGCTATACCACACCGCTCCTATTTTACAAAAACATTTATTTGTAACTAGTGCATGATAGCAAAAGTTAAAACCTCATTTCGATTGGAAGTAGATTTGATGGCTATACCACCTGTGTAAAGCCGTTTTATATGTCAGATGTTAAGAAACAAAAATATATATACTGCATATTGGTTCGGTATATAATTTTAGATCCCTTTCTATGCCATATTTAAAATGTACAATTGACTTTATAAACCATAGCTTAACTGAAAGTACTTGAGCCCATTGGCCCTGCTGATTTAAATTAAGCTCAATAACTCATATTTTTTGTACTCAATAAATATTTTGGTATATTACTTGTATAGATCTCTTTTTTTAATGTGTACAATTGACTTCATAAACCAATAGCCTACTGTGATTCAAATTCACCTTTATTAAGTTTGTTCTTAATATAAGTACAGGTCTTCCTGACATTTTTGGGACTGGGGTTTCCAGGGTCTTTAACAACTTTGGTCTCTAATTAGATTAATAAAGATAAGACATTTGTGAATTTGAGACTAAAGACTAAAGGTTAAAGGTTATTTATTATAGAATAGTGGTCTTTAATCGGAGAGGTCTTTAATTGGAGGGAGACCTGTATTTAAGTATTTAAAATGTTAAAATCATGTTTACCCAAGTGAATCAAAGAATCAAATGAATTATATTGCAGTTAGAAAAACAAGATAAATTTAATGATTATAAGTTCAAAAATTCCTATTTCTTGCCCCTCTCCTCACCCTTACTATTTACCACCTAATTGTTTTAAACTAAGCAACCCCCCCCCCCCGAGAAAAAATATTCCGATTGTTTTATTAAAGAAATATCACTAGGTTTTGAAGAGTATGACCAAAATCTGAACAGATGGAGCTATATATAAAGCAACGTCTGTGTATTAGATTTTCGTCTTTCAGACAGACAAAATTTGATAGTGTCTGCCTTTAATAATCAGTGTTCATTGGTTTGTTTTAACAGACATCAATATCATAGTAAGTTTTGTAATGTATTATTGTCATTGACAGTTTATGGCTAAAAATAAATTGATGTAGAAAAATTTAACTACTACTTTAAATTTCATGGCTCAGTTTTCTAGTCCTGTTAGAAGTGAAAAAAAATAACTTTCTAATTTAAATAAATTTAAAATCAAAATAAATGACATAATTACAGTATGTAGTAATTCTATGCTATGATATATTAACTGGCATTAAATAAATGATTTATATCTTTTTTATAGATATTCGGGTGATGACGATTACTGGACTGCAGCAGAATTTATGAAGTTCATGCATGAATCACAGAAGGTAAGGAATTTTTTATTTACTATATTCTAAATTTTACAATGAACCATGTGGTATTGATAGTGGTTTACATACTTTTAACCCTTTGAACCCTGCATTATTTACATCTTGTGGCACCCTCACCCGGAGTTATTTGGACAAAATATGATTATATTTTATTACAATCATCACTACCACCTCCTAGGCCCTGTACCGCTACCATAGCCATCCATCAACCAGATGTACAACTATCATCACTACCGCCGTCTGCTGGCACTAGCACTATCGTGATCGGTCTGGCCTAGGCTAAAAACTACACTGTTTACCTCACTATCACTTTCCAAATCACTTCCTGGATAATCGTCATCATCAATATATCCTTGGGAGTCATAAAGTATCAATCGTAAAGCACGTTGGCATTTATTGTCAATTCAATAAATTCAATAAAAAAAATCATCACATACGAGTCTGTCAGAACGACTTGGGAATGATGATGTCACAAAATTACGTCATTACTCATACTGGTCATGACTGGTCATGTGATTATCCCGAATAACGTCACCTGACACGCAAAGGCCGGTATACCAGCCTTTAGGGTTATTGCAGTGTAAAGCGCGCGGCCGTTTTTCCGGCCTTTAGGGTTCACAGGGTTAAATGTTCCTTTCACTATATTAGTGTTATTAGTTTTGACGAACATGAAGAGGATAATGATCACGGCAGCAATGATTAACAGCGTATCTAATAGTGATTTATTTACACGGTGCCGATGGGGAAGGGGGAACAATAAAAAGGGGTGGGTGCTAGCTGGGGAAATTAGTACTTTTTTTCTCTTCTTTTTTTTTTTAGTGGAATTCACCTTGTGAAGGGATACTAACATTTTCTTGGGGAGGGGAACATGTATATTTTCCTCTTTAGATATGACACTGATGATAACTCTTTACCCCTTGTATCAAGCTAATAAGCATACTGATGATGCTGCATATGTTTGTGGCTAAAACTTATTACCGTATATTCAAAGATTTTTAAGTCTGTAACACAAGTTCTTTGTTGTACCGTTGTTAATTTTGTTTAGCAGCATGAAGAAAGTTGATTTACGCGAATTACACATCAATTATTGATACAGCCTGTAAATTGTTTATTGGAATGGTGTTAATTGATAATGAGCACTGTCATCATAAAAGAGGTCATGCACCTTTAGAACCTCTTAAACTAATTTGCTCTTGCTCTATATTTATGTGTGCTATTAAAAATGACAGAGGATCGGGACTAATGGATTATGCAGTTTAGGATGCCCAAAATATTGTTTTTAGACCATGTAATATTTAAAGGGATTGGCAATCAATAACGTTTTGATCAGCAAATTAACATTTTTAGTCCGATGACCCTTGTCGTGGTATTGAATGATAATGGGATTCATAGTTGGGGGAAATTTCTCCTTTGACACTCCTGGCAACGTCACTGACTGTTATTGTTTGCATATTATCTTGTTTTTTTTTTTAAAGCATTTGTTTATTCCACTGTAATTTGTATAGAGGTCAAATACATTTGATTCTGATGAAAGTTCTGAGTATATACAGTACCTCCAAATTATTAATTCAGTATTTTGAGTTTTTTCTGAATTTTTTTCTCATTTCTTCTTTATTTTTGTGTTTCCAATGTTTATTGGCAAAGTGCCAACTGTTAATGGAGTACGGTATATACTTTTAAAGTACTTTAACTACGATGACAACAATTTAGAACTGGTCCATCACCTCCCTGGTATGGCCTTTAGAATTGAACCACTGAAGCAAATAGATGATCGGTGATCTATGAATGAAGGTTATTTAGCATTTAAAATGTCAAAATTTATCTTGAATAAAAGACAGTTGTCATCCATAAACACTTCAGTAAAGCGGTTGAAAGTAGGCATATGATTTCAACTATGAACCATCTATAGTTGTTATAATATTATTACTGACAGTCTGTAAGCCCATCTTAGGTACAAGCCTAAATCATGTATAAACCTATTTCAGGTATAAGTTCACTGTTCATTTAAAACACAAAAGTGATAGCTAAATATATTCTTGTGATAAGGTTACAAGCAATTAAATATCGTATCAAAAGAAATGAAATTGATATTATATATTACTGTACAGTAGTTATTAAGTGAACTAACTCAATGGTATCAGCATTGTTATTCTATCGTGCTTGACTGCAGATACAAAGTATTATTGACAATTGTTGTCAAAGGTTAGATTAATTTGCTGAATCAAAGAGTGAAATGCTCGTCTAATGAATTGAAGAATCAATGCATAGTTTAATGCCCACCATTGTAACAATAGTTCATACCATGAACGTTAGAAGTACTCAACATTACCAGCTTGGTTATTGGAAACAGACATTCATACACAATCTGCAGCCAGTACTCATTGGGGAACATGTATAAGACCACAGTATATCACAATATCATATTCAAAATACTGCATAATAATTCAACAAAGCTCGTTTTTATCCTATCTACAAGGTAATAATTTGTAATCCAGAATAGAGAGAGATTAAAGTAGATAGATTGCCTTCTCCAAAATAATAATCATAATATGACTTAATATACTGTAGCTAAGGCCTGTCATTACCCCCGGTCATTGGATCAAGCACATATGGAACACACTCTCAGCTCCCTGGGGATAATTCCATAATGTTGCAGCTGTAGGTACCAGCCTACCAGGTACCCACTTATACTCCTGGGTGGAGAGAGACAACAAGTGAAATGCACAACTTAAGGTAGAAAGCCTGTATAATTTACTGCACAAGTGCTTCCATGTCCTGTCCAACTGAGGCATGGTGACTCACTCTAGGAACTGCAGTGCTTCTTGCCATATTCATCAACCATACCGCAGATATACAGTAGAATAAATGATACAATTCAGGCATAATATTACTAGGGAGTTTACATCTCCCTGATATTACTGTGGTTTCAGTCTGCATTGATTAAACACATTTATATTTATCACATTATGGTATAGGGGATATAAAAATTAAGAACTAAAAATATAATAAACTTCCTCCCATTATATAGTCAGTTTTTCTTATGTGTTTTTTTCTGATAGAGGGTTGATGTAAAAGAAGAATGGTGTTTATCCGTGATTGACAAGTATGAGCAAAAAGAACTTTGCAAGCAGAAGAGGATTCTCAGCTATGATGGCAAGTATCTCAATAAATCATAAAACAAACATTTGAATAATTTTCATGTCTTTTCAATTATTGACCTTAAAACACAAATGAGATTAGATTTAAGATTTCATTGGCAGGCAGTAGAGTTTTAACAGACTTGATCCATATCATGATTACTTCATAAAAGTCATCTTTTAGTTTTAACTGCACATGTGTATGTCAAGGGTCAGTGCATAAAAACAATTTATTTAGCCTATTGCAGCCACATGTTTGCAATGTATATGCCAGATATTCATTCTGTTTGTTGATGTAATTGTTTATAGAATGTTTATATGAGTTGACCTTTATGACATGTGAGAGTAAACTATGAGCATGAAGGTATAAAAAAGATTATGTTTTTTTCTATTTTATACCTCCATGCTATGAGATAACTCATTCAAGGGTTTTCATCCTTACTCAATGTCAAGATTACTTTCAAGATGTAAGAATCACTTTCTATTGTGTGAAACTCTCATTTACAATTCCCTTTTAAAAATAGATTATGTAATAGATTAAAAAAAATATTATGGTCATTATTATTATTATGGTTATTATTATTATTATTTTTGTGATATATTACTTTACTTTTTATTTCTTTTCTTCTGTAGGTTTTGTTCTTTTTATGTTGGGACCAAATGGATTGCTTTTTAATCCTTTCCATAACACCATCTACCAAGATATGACCCAGCCTTTGACCCACTATTTCATAGCATCTTCTCACAACACGTAAGTATTGCACTTGCATGTTGATTTTAAAATATTTTGTGCAAATTGATATAAATCCTTCTACACATAAGAGCTACCTGTTTAAGGTACATAGACATGGTAGCACAGTGCTACACAGAAAAATATATACATCACCTTACGCTAGATTACATGCTATTAATCCTGTTCACGTATTTGTAGTTTGTGCTAGCCGTAAAGCAGGTAGTTTTTATTGCAGTACACGGTAAGATCCTTTTACCCAACTATCTGCTTACAAATGCAATTTGACATAAGGAGATAATAGCGCTCATGAAGGTTTGAGTGATCTATGAATAGACTTCAAACCTATCCAACTAGAATTTTAACGTGATATCATTCTATACGTATTCTTCTACTTTGCAATAATTTTCATGAGTAAATTTCCCATATGATTAAAATTGAAACAGTATTGGATTTGTCTACAGGAGTTTGTGCTTCGTACAGGTCATTCCAAACAGTACCTGGCAATAATTTTCAACAAATATATTTGGTCATACAATCGAAGAACTATAAAAATGGACAGCTGATGGTTTTTTTTAAATATTTAAAAAAAAATATTTTTGCATGGGGCTTACACACAAATTGGTGTAAAATCTGTGCAAAAAAAATAAAAAATATTCAAATGCATGCAGAAATTGAGATTCACTAATTGGCAATCAATGTCTTCTTAATGAAGACTAAATTATTTTTATCGTAGCATATTACATTATTGATTTATAAAGGTTTCTCCTTTGCTAATAGTAATTTCTAAACAAGTTTGGTCAGAGAATAAGGAAAGAGAAAAGGAATTTCCTAAGTTTTATTTATTTTTTTGTTTTTTTGTTGGGAGGGGAGCCTCTCAACGAAGTAGATACTTAAAATAAATAAAATTTACTGGTACCAGTATCCAGCCCCTGAGTTCAGGGGCTGGATTTATCAAACTAGAAATCAGCTTAAATTCGTCTTAAGCCTATTTTTTTGCTTAAGTCACATTTATCATTATTGCTTAGCTTAAAAATTGCTTAAAATTAAAAAGCTGATTGTATGCATGCGCCATCTGTGATGATTTTTAAGCTAAAATTTTACTAAGATGGTTTAATAAATCAGCTTAAGATATTTGATTTGGGACTTTTTTGACTTACGACATTTGCTAAGCTGTGATTGAGAAATCCAGGTCCTGGTGCATAACAAGCTATAATGATGATTGGTCTGTTTACTCATATTAATAGCCTTTTGAATTAAAGTATTTTCAATTAATATAATAATATAACTAACTTAATAAAAGATTTTGAATTATTGGCATAATTGATTATAATTTATGAATTTTCTTATTAGCTATTTGATGCATGATCAACTACGAGGGCCAAGTAGTACCGAAGCATATATTAAGTGCCTTCAGAAGGGATGTAGATGTGTGGAGTGTAAGTAGATGGTTTTTTATGTTAACCATTTAATATGAAAACTATTTTTAAAGCTATGTTAAAAAACACGAAAGAATCTTTCATGGAATAGGAAGTGGATACTAATTAGACCTTCTCAAAATTAAGAGGACATAAATTAGAACAAGCTCTATTGAGAAAATTTATTTGTGGGAAATTTTTACCTGTATATACTTGTCAATTTGTATATTTTTTATTCTTTTACATAAAATATATATAAATATATATGAATAGAGCCATCATATATCACTTATTATATAGTCCTCTCCCCAGGGTATTGTAATTTTTGTTTTTTTTTTTCAAATAAAAACCGATGAAGTTGACATTTTGTACTATTAAATATTTGCCTTTTATTTTTGTAGTGGATGTATGGGATGGTCCAGATAATGATCCTGTAGTCTACCATGGACACACACTCACATCTAAGATTCTTTTCCGTGACATCATTGAGGTTGTTAACAAGTACGCCTTTGTAGCCTCAGAGTGAGTACAACTGTTTTATTAATGAACCATGTGAAGTTGTGATCTTGGTGACAACATGTAGCTGTAAGAAAAACATTTTAGAAACTAGGATTTTAGTACAAAATTTACATTTTTTCTCACTTCTTATGTAGGAGCGCATGTGGCAGTGTTGGACTGATCTTGAATTCGAGACCGACGCCCATCGCATTGCTTGTGTCCTTGGGCAAGGCACTTTACCTATGTTTGTCTCTCTATAAATGGGTACTTGATAGGATGGTGTGGCATTGAACTTCCTAGGTTGTGCGTGTAAAGCAGCATGACTTGGGATACTCCCCTGGGAGGATACTCCCCTGGGAGGATACTCCCCTGGGAGAGGAGAAATTATCACGAAAATGTGCTGGTTTGCCAACTTAGTATCTAGTGACCAGGGTAATACTAATGCCAGCGCCTTGTATATTCTTCGGTCTGTGATAGGCGCAAAATATAAATCTGGATTCTAAAAAAAAACAACTTCAAATTGTAACCAAGTTAAAGCAAAAAAGTCAATAATTATTATTTATTATTTTACTAACAAAGAAAATGGAGATTAATTTTGTTTTTCATGTAAATTTTTTTTCATATGAAATTAGGTGTACTTGTCATATTTCATTTATGTAAATTTGTATAATGTTGCTATTAGTGGGTTATGAATCAATGCTGCAATTTTGAAACTCCTTAATGTACAAATTGCCTACTTCAAAACCATTCAATTAAACACAGGATATGTATAATTCATGGTATAAATGCTTACTTACTGCAAATGATAATTCTTAAGCAAATTTTAAATATGATATACAAGGATGTAAGTTTATTTTATAGATGAGAATTTACTTTTTGAAATTTTTACAGGTCATAATTTCCATATTAATGTAAATACATCTGGATGGCATTACAGGCAATCATAAATGGAGGCAGGATGTTTACTATTTGTAACGGATATAAAATATGCACGCAAACTCAAAATTAATTATTATAGATAGGTGCATCAGCGATCCATTTAAAGGATATTAAATTTGGTATATTTCAGAATGATGCAAATTTTCCAAATGCATTTTGTAATCCCAAAAGATTTCTTAACGTTTTGATAAAGCTTAATTATTCATAATTTAGTTTAAGGAATATCGCTTTTGTGATGCTGGATTTTCTAGTTTCTAGTGCACTTACTGAAATTGAACCACTACAGGTTTTATTAAGAAGTTCATGTCATAGGTCTTTTTCATGTTGGTTGTTTTAGCTACTACATAGAACTTAATCTGGCTGCGGCCCTCCCCTTTTGGAAAGTTTAAAAAAAAAAAAAAAAAATTGTGGGGGAATGCCCCTGGACCCCGTAGGATAGTGTTGTCTCGATCGCCCTACTTTCAGCCCCCCTTTCGGACATCTCTAGATCTGCCCCTGATTATTAGATTTTCATTATTGCAAGTATTAAGGTTACTATATGGAATTATTAATGTTAGTGTTCAGTGGAGAAGGTTCATTGGTAATTTTAACATGCTGTTAGTCAGTTCCTATTCTGGAACTGACTAAAAGAAAGATACAATTACCATATTTATCCGAATAAACGCCCTGGGGCATTTTTGTTGAGAAGGGTTTTTGGAGGTGTGTTTATTCGAGAGAGGAGTCTATTTGAGGGAGGCGTTTATTCCAAATCAGGTTCTAGAGGGGTAGTATATTCAAGGGGGACGGAACCCTATTTTAATTGTTAAAAGTTTTGTGTTTTTCTGTTGTAATGTCATGGATAAAATCCAACAAAATAAGTTGTTAATTATTAGTATGTTGCATTTATTATTATGAAGGGAAAAAAATGGTTTTGCAAATATCAAATATATATATTAAAATGTATATACCCCATTTTTTTTTTTCTCACGCTCGTGGGAAATTTAAACACTCAAGAAACTCAGCTGATATGAGTACAGATGTTGTATCATTACAATAACAATAGATGTCTGTGTGTGTCTACCAGCATATAGATGAAAGTACAAAGTTTATTCCCAGTTGCATTGTTCTGTAATAACGACAGGCTCTGTCGTTTGTCTATCTGATAAACAACACATACCAATTTGTTGAACGTAAAAATCCCTAGGCAGTTCGTTGGAAGACATGAATTACTCAATGCCTTAACGGTTGACTGAATATGGGTGGTCTTATTACTAACTAATTAACCGTGTGTCACACGAATTTCATAGGCGGAAAAACCGCGAGTGGATGGCTAATGATTTCTGGATGGTACTGTATCTATATAGGCCAACTATTATAGACTTAATGGAATTAAATGTTGAACTAAATTCTATATTAGATAAAATTATGTTGATAATATCTTATACTCTGTTATTTTCCTCAATTTGTTCCCAATAGGTACCCAGTGATATTATCACTGGAAAACCACTGCTCTGTCCCACAACAGCAGGTAATGGCTGACATCATGCAGCAAATCCTTGGAGGTAGGGAAACTAACTTATTCAATTTATTTACTTAAGATATTTATTTGGCAAGTGCTTTCCATATTGATATGTCAAATGCTATGCTGTAATTACATTTTCCCTAAAGCTGATTAGACCTAATATCATCAGTAAAATCAGCACATCAACAACATGTTTGCTTGGACTTAAGAGGTGTCACTCTTGATGTGTTTTAAGACGCCGTTCCACAACCTTTTTAGATCACTACCCAAATTCAATGTCAAGCACTCAAACGCGACCCATCAAACTCTAAGGTCAAATTTCTCACCTTAATTTCATGGTAAAATGATTGAATATGGTATTATTTTCATTCGTTTAAGTGAATTATGTCAATAAACCATGTCCACCATTTTATACGCACAAGGGATAACAAGTATCAAAAGAATCACCCTCTTGATTCTTTTGTCTAATTAAAAGATGCCATCACCCACAAATTCAATTTAAAACCCCTAAAAATGAAAATACTATTACTGATTTCACAAAACCATATATAGATTTGGTTGGCAGAAATTCATAGGTTATGCGGAGACACATAGACACATATATATGTTGTATATGTTATTATATTAATGTTATTGTTATTATCAGCTGCTATTGTATTTATTTTGTTGACTACTCTACTGTTTAAGTTACAAAGTTAATTTTCTTTTTTTCAAATAACACACATGCCACACTTTAATTGCACTTTTGTTTACTATAATTTGCTTACATTTGTTGTTGTTCGTATTAAGTGAAGTTTTCACGATCTGAAGATATTATGCCACTCATCAACATTTTTCCACAACCCAATCATTGGTTCGCATCCCATAGGTTGTGGAATGGTGTCTTAAGATATATTTTAAGTGGTAAAATGTATGAGACTGCAAAGTTGAAGTACAGTAGAACCACTATAAAGGAGAAACCTTTGGTACCAAAAAAGTGCCCCTATAGAGGGGTGTCCCCTAAAATTTGGGACCCCTGGAAATTCCATGCCTTGTGGCTGAAAATGTGTCTGCTAATGATAATAGTAGTGTACTCTTACTAGAGGCCTCCCAAAGGAGAGGTTCAACTTTATCTGTCAGGCCATCCATATGTAGTGAATAGTGTAATGTTAATGAATTCAAAAATGTTATTTTTCTTTCTAGATAAAATCTACAAAGAACCTGTGAAAACTGAAGACACAATCCCTCCATCACCTACAGACCTCAAAGGCAAAATACTTATTAAGGTTTGTCCTTGTCAATGTTATTTAATTATTCTTTATTATGCAAAATATCAACAGTAGTCTTGCATTTTTGTTGTTGTCTGATGATTAATAATGCAATGATTGTTACAGTGCCCGATACGGTGGTGTTTACTTCTTGTGATATAATATCTCCTACAATCTGCTGAGTGTTTCCTCTGCATTTCATCCACTAAATCTTCTTCCACTAAATAACATAATATAAATAAATAATTTATTATTTATACGGCACCCTTCCATAAAAACCAAAGCATCATAGCATCATAAAAACAGGTTATTGGAAAAAATATATGCTGCAGGAAACCAACATTTATAAAAACATTGTTTACTTTAAATGTCTAGAAATACCCTTCCATTAAGATTTGGCTACTTTTAAAACTGAGCTATGTGCCCAAGCTTGTATGTTGTCATTTTTCAAGGAATTATAATATCGTATATATAATTTATTTCACCAGTAAAACAACAAAAAAGTATAGCTGACTGGTTGGATTGCCCAAAAGCAACATAACTTTACTGCGATGGAGCTCTTCTGGCAGCACATGCAGTACAATAATATATAATACATTCATATTGACATCATATGCATTTAATTGATATATTGATCAAGCAGTCAAGGGTCTTAGGTGCGAATCCCAATGGGGATATTTCTAAATATATCACTATTGGAGGAGGTGTTTTTTTATTACCATGTTGAATATCTTATGTCCGAGTATTCATGCTATAAAACTAGCTATATACACATAACTATACACATGCGCTATGTAATATCCTGCTAGGTGCAATCACATTCTCTCATGGCTCATTGATGATGATTGAGCTCACACTTAAACATATGGAAATGTTCTGCAAAGAAAAAAACCAAACATAATTCATCAGATTAAAATAATACCAACTAGGCGTTATTTTAAATAGTAAAATAAATAATGTAATTTTTTACTGTATCCTTGGAAGGAGACTTTTTGTCTAAACCAGCCAGAGTATGGCTACAGTAATAATTATACCGGTGGTGAAGGTTATGATGTTGATAATGATAATATAATAATTATAATATAATGCATAATAATAATAATATAAATAAAATCATATTTATCAACGGTGACCCTTCCAGCTTATCATAGAAGATCAGCTGATATTCAGAGGCCCTCTTGAATAGATGAAGTAACAACGCGAGGATGATAATGATAATGCTTTTTCGAAAAGCATTGTAGTACAAAAATAAATTTAGTCATATGTACATAAAACCGTTGGAAAATTGAAGATGGTATAATAAAATCAATAAAATATGGAAATATTAGCATCTAATAATATTGTTAAACATTTTTCTTATATATTCAGGGTAAAAAACTGAAGGTTGAAGATGAAGGCGACGGCGACGTCAGTGATGAAGATGAGGCAGCCGATATAGAGAATATAGAGGATGAAGAAGTTAGAAAACAGATGGAGAGTAGCAAGAAAAAGAAAGTAAGTTTATCAAATTTAAATGTTAAATATTTTAATAATAATGATAATATAATAATTCTTTCAATATTTCAAGATCTGTTACATAAACCTAGGTTGTTTTTGTGTACCTGTAGATGATGTAATGTCTTTTGTTAATAGTTGAATTTTGTATTTTAATTTAGTGTAATATGTATTTCTTAAGTACCGTAGTTCTTCTGGTGTAAGCCCACCTCTGGTATAAGCCCACTCGCTACTTTACGGCCAGTTTTACGTACCAGTCTTTACTCGGGAAGGCAATTTCCCTGATATAAGGCATCCTTCCAGCAATCAAGTATTGGAAATTGTCCTTTCCGGATTGTCAATCAAACTTTCCCCAAAAATGCACATGAAACTGTCTCACATCACATGTTTACAGGTGTTTATGCTGTTGTCTTATGGGACCTTGGCAACAATATCCTAGAGACTTAGTGAAAAGGTCGAGTGAACTGAGACATTCATTTTTTAAGGATTTATCTTTAAGTACTTTTTAAATGGTATTCAGTTTACTTGTGTGCCCAGATTTTTTTAAAGGACATAAAATACAAATTGAGTACAAAATCTTAGTGATTCACAGATGTGTGTGTTTGCGTGCATAGAATGTAGATGACATATTGTATATAAAACTAAATTACTTTTTATATATTTGACATAATGGATTATATTTAAACATGGTGTAATACAGGTAAGATGTTAATTACTTTTGTTTATATAAAATTTACAAGCATTACCTGTGAGTCGATGTCAAATTAGTTGGTATTGATTCATCTGACAACATAGATGCAAACTACTATATAAGTTTATCTGTGAAATTAGAATGAGGTGAGATGAAATTTGGTGAATGGGGTTTGAGACATTGAAAATGGGTGAGTTTGAACACTAGACAGAACCATTGATAGCAGACAAATACTGTACACTCACACAAAGACAGGCAGGCAGAATGCAGTTAGAAAATACAATACATATACAGATAAAGAAATACTATGCCTGAAATAAATAGAAAATAAACATTGGAATGTACAATAGGTAGTCCTGTCAGGTTGAAATAAATATAAATTATAAATTTTGATTTAATTAATCAGTATAATTAACACTGTTCAAATTCCCATTTATTTGCAGGAAAAGAAGGTATTTTTGATGGAAAATGTTAGAAGCATTCTGGTTTGAAATCAAATTTTAAAGCAACTACACTTGTGAGCTGTCATTGTATTTAATTGTTGGCTCAAGATTAAATTGCTCAGCATTTATTTTAATGAGTTTTGAAAAATTGCACATGCAACTGAAATGACAGGTCATAAGAGAGTTGATTTAAATGACAAAAAAAAAATAATGCATGTTACATTTATATTGATAAGCACTTTTTACTGCCATCAAACATTAGCTGAGCATGGTGCTGATGAGTTGGTTCAAAGCATGAATATATAATTACTCCACATATAATTGTTTGCGTACTTATTAATATCTTATTTTAAAAAGATGATTGGTCAGTTCGACCCACCTAATGTAGACGATTTAGAATCCTTCTTCAACCAAAAGATCGTGAATGTTGATAATTCCAGTTCCATGAATAGGTGATCTTCAAAAATCTGGTAATTTTAGTGGCATTACTATTTCACCAATTGCAACAAAGATCGACAATTCTAGTATTTTGCAGCATTCCTCAGAAGAGTAGGTTTGAGTCAGAAAAGGTCACCCGCCCCAATTCCTAGCAAAGGATATTGAGGTCTACATGTACTGGTAATGAGAAACTTCAATGGCATTTAGGAGTCACTGAACCTGATCATGCTGATGATCTAGTCTAGCTTCAGACCATGAGACAGTAGCAGGAAAAAGTGGATTAGCGCACAACTACAGGAAAACTGAGAGCATGGTGTTCAATGAGACGATGGCCACACTCTCTCTCATCAATTGATAAGATTGGCAGTATCTCCACTAGACCAAAGCTTACCTTTTATTGTGGTTGTGTTAAAAGTGTTGTAGGGCATGTAATCTGTGAGGATGGTCTAGAAAAACTGACAATAGAAGGTAAAATAGAGGGAACCAGAAGGGGAAGGCAAAGGAAAAGGTATTTAGATGACTTAATTATTAATACTGTCAACTGGGCAAGGGAGAATGGATCTCATTCATGTAGTCAATAATAAAGACAGGTTCAAAGACTTGGTTGCCAACATCAAAATTTGACAAGGTATTTGAAGCAGAAGTTGAAAGTATTCTCCTATACAGTCCACCGGGACTTAGACAATTAAGAAAGATCTAGACATGACATGGAGCATTGGAGAGAAGTTGTGAATGGGATAATGCTCCTAGAGGAGTGAAGGCTTTAAAAGAGAAGATAATAAACAGCAGTTACACCAGGTTCTTCATTGGAGTCTAAAACATAATGTGAAGATGAAGTAGCAAACATCCCACCACTGGAGAACTTGTTTCTGCAGTTGGACACTGCTTCAGAGTTACATGGCATACACTGTAATCTCTAATCTACTTTGGACAACACAATACTCTCCAAGGCCGGCCTCTCTTCACATTTCCTAACAGCATCACTAGAGACACTGGAGACACGTTTTATAATCTCATTAGGGTAATTATAGACAGAACATAATTTGACTAGTATTTTAGCATTCTCAGGCACTACGAAGCAATATTCTTAGACATACATTCTACATTCTACAATACAATTTGAGTATGCCATTAACATTCTTTAAATATAATCCAATAATAATTTCTCTTTTGCTTGCTGAACGATTCGTTGCAAGTGTCTTTCTCCTTGATCTTTGAAGCAGTTAAATTATACAACTTTTAACTAAAGATTAATTTGTTCCATATTTGCATGTAATTGCATCAAAGGCATAAGCATGTATACTCCTGTATAATATATACCAGCAAATTATACTTGATTACAGTACATAATATGCATACATGCCTATTCTTGTATATACCCACAGTATTTGGCCTACACTGTGGTAATGACCATATGTATACTGTTAAATTTGTTAAAATGATGCCATATTTTGTAAAACCCACTACTTATTCTTAAGTAACATATCTGTGTTTTTTATACACTTTTATTACAGTTTCCTTTTTAGTCACAGTGTATTTTTTTTTTCTCCTTTGTAATCAGTTTTTGTCTATCTTCAGCGGTAGGAATGTATCGTCAGCAGCAATTCAACATGAGGTTTGTTGAAATGTTGTCCATCAGAAATAATTTTGATGCAATGTTGTTATTGCCGTTTCCATACATAATTATACATTGTACTGTTCTGTTGTTTTGTTTGAAATATGCTGTGTGAACTCACTGTGTGTGTTGTCCGTACTGTACCATATCCTATTGTATCCAGTTCATGCATATTCCAGTTCATTCCAGTATATTCCCATTTGTTCCAGTTCATGCAAGATTATTCCAGTTTGACTTTCAACTGATTGATACGTATATCCATCCATTGCAGTGCCTATCACAATCATCTTCTCTTCTAAGTATTGTCTGAAATACAATAAAATCTACAGCAGCATTTATGTGTATATTTGTAGATCAACCCTTGCTTCATGCTTAAACGTCACTTAAAATCACAGATTTTATTTTGTCCAATCAGAGTTTTAAAAGATGATTCTAACTCAAGGGAATTTGATCGTCATTTGTCATTGACAGAATTAAGAATGTATTTTTTTATTTGATAAAAAGTGTCATAAGTGTGTAAACAAGGGTATATAACACGTTATATTTTCATTGTGGATTTTTTTTGGGCTCAGTACAGACTCCAAAAGTATGCATTTTCTTTTAGTTTTATAGCGTATGCGGATTTTATAAGTCTGCAATGACGATATAACGTGAATATCAGGCACTGCATTAGTAATGCTAATGATGCAAGGCATTTATTAACTTTAAACAAAGGGGTTTTTTTTGTTTTTTTGACTGTTCTTAAATGTTTTTAAATACTAATTTTATTTATCATTCATTCATAACCATACTTGTGCATTTTTTGTAATAAATTTGAATACTATATAATTTTGATCTCCCTGTAGTGATATCCTTTCCTCTCATATCAAGCTAACCCTTTTTTTATCACTCATGTGTATATCAAATATTGAGTAGTATTTTTAAAATCCTATGTTTATTTTATCATTATTTGCTTGTTGTATCAGTATATTCATGTAAAATGATATCTCACTTTAAATATTTTCAATATGTTTTAAATCTTACATATATTATTTTTTAACTCTAAAATGTAAAGTAGCACTACTTAAAGAAGAATATAGTTTATAAAATATTATAATCATTTTATGAAGTTAAAAGAAAACCAAACTAATATACCTTTATCCTGTCAATAGAAAAGTTAACATTATGAATGATACCATTTTATTCAGGGCTGCAATTCAGTATCTAAAATATTTATTAATATATTTAATATTCATTTCTCACAATAGTTATTATTGTTTACCTTTGTTATATGTTTATGTGTATACTTACAGTATGAAGACTTTCTTTCATGTTTTTGCATGTTGCATCTTGCTTCTAACAGTCTTTTTGAGAATATAGAGGTCGTTAAATTGTATTGTATAAAATAAGAATGATTCAATGAAGCAGCCATAAATTGGTGGATGAAAGCTGGTGAAAATTTGGTTCAACAAAAACATGAAATGCTGTTACCAACCAATTTATTTTTGTCACTTTTTGTTCTAATTATGTACCTTGTGCTTATTGAACATGTGAGCTTACTAACATGTTTTTTTTTTGTTTCTAGAATAATAAACATAGAATTTAATAATAAAAATTAAAATAAAATATGCAATATTAGACTATAATAACACATTATATGCAAATTAGAATACAAAATGTGCAAATTTGATTAGAGAAAGAATATGAAAATTAAAATATAACATGCAAATTAGAATGCAGGAATAGTATGTGCCAGTCTAGAAAATCTGAAAATTAGATGCTGTATGCATATTCAAATAATATAATATGCAAATTAGAAAATATGAATGTAAGGCTAAATATTTGCAAATCAGTCAACTAAATCATGTTTAAAATTATGTAAATTAATTAATTATGAGTATAATTATAACTATTGACTGTATATGATTAATTAAATTTCAAGGTTGAAAAATATCTTATTTGTTCTAAACGAAGGACATGAGTAATATAATATTTCAGTATATTTAATATTTTTTTGTTTTTATAAGAGATTAGGAAAAGAATAAAACGTTTCCTTACATATTTTCAGAGTAAGAAGCTGAAATTGGCCAAAGATCTGTCACTGTTGGTTACTTTGTGTAAAAGCGTGCATTTTCACAACTTCAAGGAATCTGCCCAGAAATGTAAGCATACCATTATGTTAATATAAATGAGAAAGATATTACTAAAAGGCACCTAGTAAAAAGAAAATATTTTAAGGACCCCTACATAAACAAATGTTCACGCTTTTAGGGTTATTTTCTTGCTCTCAAATTATTTCTCAGATCTCTTTCTGATTTTGTTTTAATTGTGAATGTGTTTATGTTTGATGAGTGACATAAATATTAAACATAGAATTAAAACAAAAACTCTTCTCAATATTCACTCATTGATTATTGTTATTAACTCTGAAACCTGACATACAGACAAATTTTACGAGATGTCCTCCTTTGGTGAGAGTAAGGCAGTGGAACTTGCCAAGAGCCACGGTGAACAGTACAACGAACACAACAAGAAGTTCCTGAGCAGAACCTATCCTGCAGGCTGGAGAACCAACTCTTCAAACTACAATCCTTGTTCCCTCTGGAATGCAGGTTGTGCAATTGGTGAGTATCTGAAACTATTGTGTTTTAGTGACAGTGAGTAATCTGGGACATTTTTACGTTACTGTGAGGTATGTGCACATGCATATATATATATTCATAATGTGTGAATGCTGTTGAGTTTGTGTGACAGGCATTTCCTATCCCAGACTTTTTGTAACAAATGCCACAGATGACTTAACCGAGACATAGCAAGCATTGAAATGCCTGTGACAGTGTTATGGGTTATAAAAAGTCTGCCCTTGTGAAATGTTGACACCCTGTTGAAATTAGTACTATGCTGTTTTGCAGGTTTTCATCAGTAGTATAGTCCCAGATTACTTGTTAACTCGTATCTAAAATTCAATGTTATATATTTTGTGATAATATGCCAGGTATTTACTGTATAAATACCAAGCAAGCTCTAAGTTTGTCTTTCATGTTTTTTAAGTTGCCCTGAACTATCAGACACATGGAGAAGAGATGGATTTGTATTTAGGAAAGTTTAAGCAGAATGGGAACTGTGGCTACATCCTAAAGCCAGTCTTCATGAGAAAAGGTATTATAAACAATTTTATGCATTCTGTGCTCTTTTTTACATATTGCTCATACTGTCGAACACCTCCTTTGGAACATCCCTATTAAAGGGACACTATTTTTGGCCACAAACCGAAAAAAGAAAGCACTACAGCCAACCCTGATTCGGGGGACACCCCTATTATGGAAACACTCTTTTTGGTCTCATAGGTGTTTCATAAAAAAAGGTTCTTTTTTTAATCACTTTTTTCTCTTTTCTAAGTGGCATATCCCTTCACGAGACAAACAAACACAAGATACCTACTTAAACTAAGGCTTAGGGAGTGGAGTTAGTTTGCTTTTGAGAAAAAAATCCTGTTATTGTTGCAAGAATTGAACCCAGGACTCTGGGACTGGAAGGCGAGCATCTTAACCACCAAGCGATCCAACTCCACTCCTGTAATATAATATACTATATTTACTCATTTGTAGCTGCTGAAAATGTTGATAATGGTTAACAATAATAATAACAATAATAACTGATATTTACTGAAATACTGTAATACAAAAGAAAAAAAATCCATAATTTTCATAAGAGTAAAAAACATACTATTTTGTGTGACCACCACCATCCCCCTGGGAGAGTACACAATTAATGTTGATTTTTGTCATTTTGAGATCATCATTTTATCTTCTTCATAAAAGAGTACACTTTCAACCCCTCTCCCCCCCCCCCCCCGCCTATTTTGCATATATGTTTTTCACTAATTTGAAAAGGTTGAAAATTATGGATGGCCCTAACTAAATTGATATTTGTAAACTTTATATTTAATTTGGGCACATACGCTCCTCTTCAATTGCTTATCTCTCTTGTTCTTCAAAATATATTTACTAAATTTTGTATGGTTTTATATACTCATCCACATTTTGTTTACTCTTCTTCCAAATAGAGGGTGTGACGTTTGATCCTGAAAAGCCTGGTGATCAGTACAAAAGCAAACTGAAAATTAAAGTAAGTAATATAACTGGATTTCAAAAGCAATGATAGCAACAAATTGAGAAAAATATTCCATCAACAAGGACCAGCTTGGCCTCATAGCTAAAAAGTATATTAATAATAATATTACTGTGGCGTGCCCATGATTTCAAAAAGAAGGTGGGGGGGGGGGTGGTGGTGTGCTGAGTAGTATTAAATTTTAATTATTAAAGAAAATGCACAATATCGTACCAGAAGAAGCGAGGTATAAATAAAAAAGAACACCCCCATCTTTTTGATGGCATCCCACTGTATGAGGTCAAATAATATACAAATACACTTACTTATGGCACTTTATTATAACTGGCCTTTTAAAATTTACTCAATACAGTATTAACCAAAAATAACCTCCTATCATTTAAAAAGATTCAATGTTTTAAAAATATTATACCAGTCATAAAAATAAAAGGAAGGTCTTTGAGACAAAACGGCTCTGGCAAGAACAGCTCTGTGACCGCCTCCTTCATGGATGTTTTTTATGTTACTTTTCCAAACAGTACATCAGAATGGAAATGGCCCTGAAGCATAAAGCATAAATAAATAAGAAATTACCTATTAATTAGTATGATGTTTTTATAAATGTTTCAGCAAATTGAGATTGATATGTTTAATGGGCTTATAAATCATAGTGCATGTGTATTTATTTAGTACTGGTATATTAATATTTAATAATGATGTCAGTGGTGATGACTGAGGATAATGATGTATTCATTTCTAATGTGTAAATTCCATTAAAAAAAATGTACAAATTGTAAAAAAAATCAAGTACAAATTACAAAATAGCACCTACAGTAGTATATGTTACTATTATATATTTGTAATTATGGTTGAAAATGATGAAAAATATTTAAAAATAATATAGTAATACTATTATGTGAAATATTTACATATTCAAGCTGTGGTTTGGTAAACCTTTGCTTCCAATTTTAGGGTTCCTGATTCAAATCCTGTCAAACTTTACAATTTGTTCTTGCATATAAAATATCATTAAGTCTCCATGATATTTGTGTTATAAACCATACATAAATTTATTTACATTGCATTATTTTTAGATAATTAGTGGCCAACAGCTTCCAAAGCCTAAAGGATCAAAGGAAATAATTGACCCATTTGTGAAGGTTACCCTGCATGGTGTCTTCCAAGAACAGGAAGATAAAACTGAAGTGGTAGAGAATAATGGTAAGTAGTGAAGGGAAAATCCACACTATGTAACTTTATGATGTGGGCCTCATTTGCCTATCTTTACGGTGGAATAATCAGTGAGCTCATTTACCTTTGCAGGGTGATGGTCAGTAGGCTCACTTGCCTTCATTTGCAGAGTGATAATCAGTGGGTTCACTTGCCTACCTTTGTAGGGTGATGATCAGTGGGGTTTACTTGCCTACCTTTGCATGGTGATGATCACTGGGGCTCACTTGCCTACCAATGCAGAGTTATGAGCACCAGGGCTCACTTGCAAACCTTTGTAGGGTGATAATCAGTGGAGTTCACTTGCCTACCGTTGCAGGGTGATAATCATTGGGCTCACCTGCCTACATTTGCAGGGTGATAATCAGTGGGGCGCACTAGTCTACCTTTGCAGGGTGATAATCAGTGGGGCGCACTTGCCTACCCTTGCAGGGTGACAATCAGTGGGGCTCACTTGCCTTCCTTTGCTGGGTGATGATCAGTGTGGCTGACTTGTGTTGGCCTATACCATGTTAAATAAATAATAAGATATCGCAACCATGTTTTATATTATCTGTCTAGGATTCAACCCACACTGGAATCACGAGATGGAGTTTGATGTGAAAGTACCTGAACTGTCGCTGCTCCGCTTCACTGTTTACGACTATGACATGTCCACAAAGAATGATTTCATTGGACAGTACACAATTCCTGTGACAAGTATGCAATTAGGTAAATATGATGATAATGGTTTAACATATTAGTATAAATTATCAATATATTTTTATGTATTTTTTTGTAATATAATTGAGGATATCATTTGTCAACATATTTGTCATATGTTATACATGTCTTATTTTTTAACAGTTTATTGTTTATAGATCACTAGATTGGCATGCTATCATTGCCACATGACTTGCAAACCATCAATGACATCATAGTTCATATGATATGTCATATAGTAGTGATATGCAAATTATCAATTATTTGACCATTTACAGGAGTGACTGCATGAAATATTGATGTGTGTTATAGAATAGCAATATAATATTTGATTTAATAAATAATTTGCTATAATTATTCATTTTAAGGATTGAGGTGCAAAGTTAATGTAGTACAAGATTTGTTAATAGGTATATTAATACCAGTTTTAATGTTTCTGGACAGAACATTAATTTAAACAATTAATGGTATACCTATCAAAACTGTAAATCTGCCAATATATTTCTTTCACGTAAACATGTCCAAAGCTGAAATGCATTGTACTAATTGTTTTTAAACCTTGTCCTGTAGATGGCAGCAGACAAAAGTGTGTTTGCAACAGAGTGAATCAGAAGAAGGCTGTAAACACACTTTTATTTGCTGCTACCTAGAGGATATGATTTACAACAACAAAATAATCTACAGTGTGTTACAATAAAGGTGATGTTCACAGAACTATTGAAAACCAGTAGGTTAATCATCATCAACATATTTCAAAAGCTAATAAAGAACAGTATTTTGAAAAAAAACTTACCTTATTTGCAACTGCACTGTAAATCTTTGCAAAACCCCAAAATTGATGATTGTTGCACCACTTATTATTTCATAATAATTAAAAAACAATTTTAAATTCTTTTAATTAATTGTAAATTCACCTGTTAATTAACCACTTGTACATTGTGAAATTATTTGTATTGATTATTTCAAAATTTGAAAGTAGCTGCACTACGTAATACTGAATAATATAATTTAAAATTAAACTTTAAATTGTTTTAATTTAGCTGTTAATTAACCATCTGCACATTGTGAAATTATTTGTTTTTGTTAAAATAACTATCTTATCAAAACAGGGTATCATCATGTACATTTGGTGTCTAAGAAGGGTGTTTCATTGAGCCCAGCCTCAATTTTTGTCCACATAATGATGTCAGCGACATCATGATGTGTAACCGTAAGGTATCAACGTCATTGATTGATTAGCTGTTTTTGCTTGGCATCTGTAGATGGAATGCTGTGCCTTTTATACCCTTAATGATAACTGCATGAGTGGGTTTAGTTTCTGTACTATACTAAGTTTAGTCTGCTTCTTGGGATTTCTTTTGCATTTTTCTAGTATTTCCTTCTGAACAAATAATTATTGATTTAACTAACTGAAATATAACAGTTTTGAGATTTTAGCTATTTTACAGTTTTACTGTTTTTTCCCTCCACATAACAATAATTTGAATAATCTAGAGTGTGCTACATTTATTACTAACATAGATAGAAGAAATGAATAAAACAAAAGCATCTATATGTGACTAATAAATGATACATTCATCTCAGTTAAAAGAATGATGCATCCAAAATTTCTAACCATATTTGAATTAAAAAACAATTATTACCCCTATATAATTTTGTTCAATTTTACCTGTTGGCATCTTCTGTTGGAAACAAGTTTGCTACCATAAACTGCCATGCTTAATACCTCTGCATAAAATTTTATCTTTTGCTTCTCTGCTAAAAACTTGATAGCAAATATTATAAAAGCAATTCCCATTGTTCTTCTGTTAAAAAAAAAACAACTCTAAGTTAAAAAAAATGATTCTGACCAATAATTTGTGTTCCATCTTTCACTTCACAAAAACAAAGCGAACACAATGAAAATACTTGCAACATTTTCTGAAGCTTAACTAATACAAGTTGCGCTTTAGAAAATGTTGCGAGTAAATATTAACTGTTAAAGTTGATTTAGCATTCCAATTGTCAAACAAATTTTAAATATATAATTTCTATGTTTTATGCTGAGATGTTTTATAATGACTTAGTAGTATAGCTAAGACTAAGCATAATATGGCGGAAGGCAAAGTTCACCCGAGTTGTTTGCAGTGGAAATTGAAAGTACTGTGTTGTATTTTGCTCCATAATCTGCTGTTATTTCCATTGGAAATAGTCCTTATAGCTCCGTATTAATAATAGTATACAGTTAATCTTTATTTCTCTTGTATCTAAGAAAAGGAAAGAGGTGCCACTCAAACGATTAGATTACACGAGATCTTAATTTCCATGTCTGGCATCTGCATCTGTTTAAAAACACCATTTAAAAATGCATGTGAATTGTCAAATTAAATCATTTGTAGGAAATGTTAATTAATAATAATAATAATAATAATAATAATAAAGTTTTTATCTGTTCTGAAATCTACAGAACAAGTGGTTGTCATTGACTATATCAGAGTAGTTGACAAGCTTCAACCAATAGTATGTAGAGATGCCAAGTTAATATCATTTGCAATATCAAGTGCAACTTCTTTCCTTTATCTACAAGATAAAATACTTATTATTAACATTTTGTAGTTAATTCCATTGCAGTAGATTTAACAACAATAGTACAATGTCAAGTTTAGTGTAATGATCTTATAAACTTTGTAACATGTTTTTCTTTACCTTGTATAATAACTAACTTTTCTTTTTGTTCATCTTAATTTCTTTCTTCCTAGTTATCGTAAGCATCAGTTTCGTTGCAAAAAAACCTTGTTCCTCTGAACAGTTTTATTTCAATTTGTTTTCCTCATCAGGACTGTCCATTGGTTCTATTAGTAATGCAGAACTCATGTTTCTTTTTCTTCTTCCCATTCTTGTTTTTCTTACTGTTTACTAAAGTTGTGCTCTTACTGTAGCAGTTTGATTAAGATGTGATGACATGTTCAGTTCAGTCTTATCTTCAATTGATGGTATGACTGCATCCAATATACACATTATTTATTTGAAAAGTGCCCTTTTCATGAATAATCATGTTCAAAGGCGCTTTACATTAAGAATACAATAAATTAACAGTCAAAAAATAAACAATTAACAGTCAAAAAATAAACAATTGAGAATATCAAAATTCATACATTAATTACAATAATATTTATAAAATGATACAGAAAAAAGGATCCAGTATTAATGAACCGACAATATTGTATATATACATTCAATAGTAACACTTTCACAAATATTTCATAGACTAATAAACTAATGAATTCATAATGCATTCAATAGTAAACTAATAGTATTTTCAGTGTTTCACAACACATAATATAATAAACCATATTTACATTCAATAGTAAACATCATATATCTTCCATTAAACACATTCAATAGTAGATTAGCCACTGTTTTAACATATTTTCAATAATAAACCAATCAAAACACATTCCTTAGTAAACCATTTTCATAAGACATTCAATAATAAACTAATGAATATTTCATAATACATTCAATATTAAATAATATCTTCAATGTTCCACTACACATTCTATAGTAAACCTAATTATCTATACACATTGGTTAATAGTAGTAAGCATACCATAACACTCAACAGTAAATCAAACATTTATATATATTGAATAATAAACCTGTCAAAACACATTTGATATTAAACCATATTATCAGTACACATTTGATAGTAAACTATATTATCAGTACATATTGGATAGTAAACCATATTTTGTATGTCCCATAACACAGTTAGTGGTGAAACACATGATCTATTTTCAAAACATATTCAGTAGTAAACAATGCATTAAATGTTCCATTCATTAAACATTCAATAGTAAACTATATCAGTAAACATTCTTTAGAGAACTGTGTCTATAGTACACATAGACCTACATGCCATGTTGATAAATTTTACTTTGTATGTACATTTTAGTTTAATTTACTCCTAGTTAAAGTTTATTATTTTTCTCTTATACTTGGATGCACCGTTGGGTATTGTCCAACGTGTGCCACTGTTACGAAAGTGATATCCATTAAATTGAATTGAAAAAATACAGGTGGCTACACTAGATAACAAACAGATTAGTTGTTCTGCATATAAGTATGCTTCACATTCAATATTAAACCATCTGGTTTCTATCCAATAAAACATTCATTAGTAAACCGCACTATTTTTTTTTATACAACCTTTAAAATATTCTTGTTCTACATAATATAATACATTCAATAAGTAAACATTTGCCTTATTCAATAGTAAATAATACTAATATTTCACAACACATTCAAAAGTAAACTAATGTTAACAATGTTGAATAATTAGTATATTTGATACAACACACTGATTTTTGGTTTTATACAATCATAAACAATAAATGTTCTAGATTCATTCAACTGTAAATAAGTAATACATTCAATATTACAATATTTTCATAACATATCCGATAGTAATTTAGTATACTATATTACATTTAAGAGCTAATCATTATACAAACAGATACTTTAATAACTTATATTATCAGTATACTATAATGACAATAATGTATATTTTATATCGCATTAAAAAGTAAACCATAATGTAATGAATTCATAATATGTCAATAACACATTCAATAAAAGGCATACATTTATCGTGACATTCAATAGTAAACGATACTGTAGTTTCAAAGTTTCAAAATACATTCATAAATAAACTATATTTTAATAAGAAAATAGTACCAATATATAAATTGTTTCATAAAAATTAAATAGTAAACCATTTTTATAACATAATAGTACCAATATATATAAATTGTTTCATAAAAATTCAACAATAGTAAACCATTTTTAACAACACAATAGAAATAGTACCAATATAAATTATTTCATAACAAATTAAGAAGTAAACACAAAATGTAATGAATCATATGTTAATAACACATTCAATAAAACCATACATGATATTCACTAGTAAACAGTTTTAAGGTGGCATAACACATTTTATAGCAAATCATTTTTATAAATTGTTTTCAACACATTCAATAGGTACAGTATTATGAAACAATTTACCAGTATGTAAAAAATTGTTTATAAAATATCAAATAATAAAGCAATAGTTGTTTAAACATTCTATGTAGTATATATATTAACATCATAACATTTAAAATGTTAGATGAATGACAAATCCTTTTTTTATAACATAATTGATAGTACAAATATTTTAATTGGTTCATTACACATTCAATATTAAACCATTTTATAATTATGTTCATAGTATATTCAGTAATAAAGCAATGTTTTTGTTTTAAACATTCAATACAGTATATAAAAATATTGTTAATGTTTCAGTAGTAAACAGTTTCACAACACATTCAATAGTAAACCATATCATAATATATTCAGAAATAAAGCAATGTTTTGAAACACATTCAATACAGTATATAATATTTTGAGTAACTTTTTTCTTAACATAATAGTTAATCAATGACACATTCAGTCACTCCTTCGGTGAAATTTCCAAGCCAAACCAAGTACTTTGAAGATTATTGAAATCTTTCCTGGACTGCATCATTGCTTCGACTTGATCAGCATCAGCATTCAACATCATTCAATTGGGTCACAAATTAATGGTTACCATGCAGCAGTGGCGTATCTAGGGATATGCACACTCCCCACTAAAAGAACTTTTACTCATAACTTTGGCAATATTAAGTCGATTCCAGTACTAGAAACCGACTTAATATTGCTAAAGTTATGAGTAAAGTATTAGGGCTTCTGTGAACTAAAGTAAACAATAATGCCACATTCTTTTGCTAATTACTCAGTTTACCAATTAGCACAATTACGCTAGTTTTGGAAATGCAAGCCTCATTTACATAACTAAACCTATCAATATTTAATAGCACATTCAATAGTAAACCATAGTCAATATTTTTAAGTATTGTGCACTTACCTACATGTCAAAAAGTGTAGTGCTACTAACATGCACTTACGAGAAATTCCTTACAGCCTTTTGATTATTTCGGCCATGTGTTCAAGTCATTCTAAAAATTAATTTCTTTATAATTTATCTGCATCCATATTTGACTAATAATTAAGTTTAATATATTAATGTAATGAAAGAGCTAGAAATAAAAATGATAAATAATATATTCAAAGAAATAAATAATACAATAAATAATAAAAAATAATAATCATTATTAATATTATTTAATACAAAAGATATTTGTCTACAATATACATAATTTGCAAAATTATGAACAGTATATAATAAATACATTTTCATCAAATGCAACATTCTCATCATGGATTTTATAAACAATCATTCTTTATGTACATTATCTATTGTAACAACTGTTTTTGTGTATTTAGACATAGAATTGTAGATGTTAGAGCTATTTTACATACATACTTGTAATAATACATTTGCTATAATATAGTATAATGTAACAATATATACATATTTTTTAAATTGTTATATTTTACTGTGTGTACATGCATGTAACTATTGATATTTGTTTTACACTTCATGTCTATTTTAAATATGTAATATATTGTACTGAATTTATTTAGATATACAGATGTTTAGATGTTGTTTAACATTCTTTGATCAAAATTTCATATGAACTTGTTTCTTCATCCATAGTTAGAGTATTTATTTTAAAATCCTACCCATTCAATTCTGAAAAATGAAAAAAAAAAGCTTTTACTGTTGGAATATTTCAAATGCTTGACTATAAATCAAATCACAATCAGTGCACATTGAACAGTGCAGCTTTGAACTGATGCTACTCCAGCCAATGCCAAGAGTGGTGGTTGTATACTAGCATAAAATACACCAATTATTGTCGGTTATCTAGTTGGTGTACCTAGTCTTCCCCGAGTCTTGGGAGACTCCCGAAAATTGGCACGGTCTCCAACGAGAAGCAAGTCTCCCGCAAAGTAGCCCATTTATTGCCAATTAAAAATGTGCGTTTTTTAGTACCGTATTGTCTTCCTTAATGTCGGCTGGCATGGGTATCAGCAAACTCGGCAAAATACAATAAGATGTGAATAAAACTTTATATACCAGATATTTCTGAAGTGGCTTCTCCCAACTTGGAACTTCCTGCATCTTGCCAAGTTGGCGCTGTATTGGCTTAAAATTCAATGCTTTCCAATGCTATAAAATGAAAATCAAAAAAATAAAAAGCTCTGCTCACTAGGGAATACCAATACTAATAACTAACATTTACCAATTAATGTAAATCTCTTATAATCTGCTAATTTTAACCAAATACAGTATATTTCTTGCCCATCCAGTTTCTCAGGCCAAACCTTTTGGTTGGAAAGGTTAAGATAACAATTGTGATTCAATTTCAAAACCTTAAGGTTTGATACCGACATTGCACTCTTATTTGTGTCTTTGGGAATGAAATTTTATGTAGTATAATAAAAGTGGACCAGTATGGTCCCATATAAGGCAAAAATTACCTGGTAGGTTGAATGCATTGCAGTAATCATGTAATACACCATTAGTAGCCAAGTATATATGGCTACTGTGTTTGTTCTACTGACTGGGGTTAACCAAATGACCTTGTCATATGCTATATAAAAAATTATTATATAGTATTATCTATTCTTAGGTTTATGACCTTTGCATTGTTTTCATAATATTGTCATCTTGTGCCAAGTTATACCATGGAGGTATTATTGAGATCACTCGGCAACAGATCCCTTTAACGTGACAAACCAACGTGTTCCCCGCCGCGCCTTTGGATCGCACACGGCGTATTACTTATTAACATTTTTTTAGTTATTAACAACTTGGCAACGACATGCTTTTATACGCAGTTGTGCGATAAACCGTTTCATTTTAACTCATTATCTTTGAAATTAACAATGTCCCCCTGATTAGATTTTCATTACTTTTAGTATGTTATTATGTGTATATTTCACTTCGCAAAATATTTCTTTTACAATTACTTCTGTGTTCATTATAATTAATTTTGTCTAAAGATCGATTGGTTCATCTATAAAGCTAATGCAGCGTAAAACTGAAAATTACTTCAAAGTTCTTCACACGTTGCGACATCTTTGTTCTTGGCTCATTTGCATAGCGCTGCGTGCGTGGAGCTTTTTCGAGTGATCTCCTTCTCAATAATACCTCCATGTTTGTACTACAGATCGTGGTCAATAATTTCTGCTTTCAATACCCTCAGTTATTATTTTAAAAAATAAAAACTTTATGCATGTTACTTGGGTATTTTTTTTTTTTGTGATATGAATAAGGCGTGTGGGTGAGTGCTTGCGCGCGTGTTTATTTTGGTGTATATGACTGTTTTTGGTTGTCGGTGGTGGGTTAGTGTGCTGCTTGCATTGAAAGTTTATGGATGTAGACAAGTCAGTGTATGCCAGTTTTTACAGAGAAAATATTAAAATTATGAATATTATTTTAAAATGTTTTCATAAATTCAAAATATTATTAATTAATGACATTTGTTTAATCACATTCAATTATTGAAATTATTGCTACCTTTGATTGTTTCAGGTTATACACACATGCCTTTGTATACCGATACAGAAGAACTTCTGTATTCATCAACGCTGTTTGTGCATGTTAGTCTTGAGTAACTCTGGTGACGCATATTGGACGTACTATGCGCTAATAAAACACTACTATTGGATGGTAATGGTACTTCTATTGGATTGTAGAATACTACAACGGAATGGTATGATGCTTCTATGGGATAGTACAGTACCAGTATGATATGGTAGGATACTACTATGGGATAGTAGGATTTTACGGATGGGAAAACATTATTCTTAGATGGTCAGGTACTACTATGGGATAGTAGATTACCAAATCCCTGATATTATTAGATCAGTGCTGTATTAGATAATCTAAACATTTTAAACAACACATTTTACCATGGTTTTATATGTACAGGGTAAACAGACCAAATTTTTAAACAAGTTTTTATGAAAACAAATAATAATCTAGTATATAAAGTTAATTTGTAAATAATCTCTTAATATTTACCACTTTTCATTTTATAAGTGTTGGGATCAGATTTAGATGAATAATGACTAACAATTTTGATCATTTAAAGTGAACAAATCATGTAAGGATTTGCAATGCATTTTTACATTTTAAACATTTTATAAACAAAATTTATTTTTAATTCTTTTAGGAAAACTTTGGTATAAAACTTTATAATGTGATTGCTCTTGTAAAGAAGATATTTGCAATTATTTAATTAATGATTTATATCAAAGTGCAAATAATAAATCTACATATTTAAGTAGTCAATAATGTTTTACCTTCAGTATTTACCTATTTGAGCCTTCATATTTTTAACTGCACATAAAATTATGCATGTTGAAAGTCAATAGACATAAACAACCATTTAACACACACAACATAGGCTAGGCCTAGCAAGGCCTCAGGGTTGACACAGCCTTCAGAATTGTCTGAATATAGTGAATTATGACACATAGTTTGAAGGATAATTGCATCATATATCTAATATTTATCGTAAAGATGAAAACTGTTTTGTAATAGCTTCCTAATTGTAGACGATTCAAAAGGCCTTGCCAACATGGAGGCCTATGTTGTGTTTGTTAAATGTTTGTGTATCATTGCCTTTTAATATGAGCATGTGCAGTCCAAACTACCTTTGCCATCACATCATGTTCTAAACTCTTACATTAGAATATCAGCCCAGTTAGGCCTACTTTTTATAATAATATTGTAATTAATATACAGATAATTTTTTCTACTATTCTTAGGCTTATGAAGCAGATGAAATCTTTTAGGAAATTTTTGTTTATTTTGTATACCTAACTTTAATATTTAAAAGCCTTGCACACACTTCGGTATATAGCCATAAGCCAACAAATCCATCCACTTAACTCTCTTCGGGCACTTGACGACACAGCAGCACCTGCTATTGTGGTAGTGTCCATGGAATCATGTTAGCTGACAATCATTGCCGCAGTGTGCCCGGTTTAACATTAACAGTAAAAATTAAAATATTTAAAAAGATTGCACTAAACCTGGAAACCATTGAATTCGTAAATATTCATATGTAATTATATACAATTAGGTTATACATATTCAGAAATGCATGAAGTAGATTAAATAAGATTTTGCATCAGTCAATATTTTTAAATGGATTAATTGTAAATGATATGTATGAACTATTTTTAACTAAACATTTAGCTGTCCTCAGTAGGAGTATTTAATAATGACTAAAATCATATGAAACCCATTACTGATGATTATAGATTGCCGTAAGTCTAATCTTTAATCCATATTGTAATTTTTGTACAGCGTCACCTACTGTTTTGTAATAGCTTCCTAAAATTGTAGACGATTCAAAAGGCCTTGCCAACATGGAGGCCTATGTTGTGTGTGTTAAATGTTTGTGTATCATTGCCCTTTAATATGGGCATGTGCAGTCCAAACTACAATATGTGTATTAAAGGTAAATTTGAATATAAACCCTGGCAATTTCTCTTCATATCCATTAATCTATATTTAATGTCTACAGTATTATTAACCTTTGTATCTTTTCAAGATATATGTTATTCTTAGAACACCTGTCTAACATATGAATTTATATCTGCAAATTTTGAATATATACTTATGAATGTATGCATCTGTAAATCACATGAATTCACCATTTAATATCTGGAACTTGACCTTTGCCATCACATCTACACAAGAATGAGTTTGTTCTAAACTTTTACATTAGAATATCAGCCCAGTTAGGCCTACTTTTTATAATAATATTGTAATTAATATACAGATAATTTTTTCTACTATTCTTATGCTTATGAAGCAGATGAAATCCTTTTAGAAAATTGTTTTGTAAACCTAACTTTAACGTTTAAAAGTCTAAAGCCTTGCACACACTGCGGTATATAGCCTTAAGCCAACGAATCCATCCACTTCACTCTCTTCGGGCACTTGACGACACAGCAGCATCTGCTATTGTAGTAGTGTCCATGGAATCACGTTAGCTGACAATCATTGCCGCAGTGTGCCCGGTTTAACATTAACAGTCAAAATTAAAATATTTAAAAAGATTGCACTAAACCTGGAAACCATTGAATTCGTAAATATTCATATGTAATTATATACAATTAGGTTATACATATTCAGAAATGCATGAAGTAGATTAAATAAGATTTTGCATCAGTCAATATTTTTAAATGGATTAATTGTAAATGATATGTATGAACTATTTTTAACTAAACATTTAGCTGTCCTCAGTAGGAGTATTTAGTAATGACTAAAATCATATGAAACCCATTACTGATGATTATAGATTGCCGTAAGTCTAATCTTTAATCCATATTGTAATTTTTGTACAGCGTCACCTTTGGCTGCTAAAAAAATAACATGTGATTGAGGCTTTCCGTTGCCCTGTACCAGATTAATTTAAGAATAATTATAATAAAAGAAACTGGCTTGAGTAAATGCAGTTATGACTTGGAATCTAGGTTATGTCAAAGCATAATTCACAAGCCTGTGTCTAAATCATTGTAACAAATTGTTGTGCTTGCAAAGTCTCCTGTATTTTTTTTTAGTGCTTATTCAATGTAAATCATGCCAACGTTTTTATAAGTGTTGTTCCGAATATCAAGTTAGTGCAAGTTTTTAATGGCATCATACTAAAATACTTTAATCGTACATAAAAAATACTATAGATGATAGATGTAATTGTAAATGGTGCACCTTTTCGTAATTTCTCATACCAGTACTGTTCATGCAAAATAAGATGACTTAAATACCTAACTATATTTTAACTACTAATAAAAATATATGTTAGATCATGCATAGTCAAGTTTTTAGTTTTTATGATTCATATATTGTGGTTGTAGAATAATTATATTTAATTATATTCTTGATATTTAGTATATTCCATTTATTCTTGTAATGAACTGGTTTTCACTTTTTTAGTTATTTTTACTTTGTAGTAGTATGTAATTTAATTATATGTTTTACTTAAGTTTTAAAAAATGGTTGTTTTTATATAATTTTTACAATGTTATTTTAGTTGTGATAATAACTGCAGTGTGATATATTAATATTCAATGGTCTTTTGTATTCAAATTGCCATCTGAATTTTGAATTATAAGTTTTTTTTATCAACTTTCTAAACTTGATAAATTTATTTTTTAGGTAACTATGGTTTGTACTCATTAAGTATTTACTTTCAATAGTAAAATAATATAGATTAGCCTGACAAAGAAGCATTTATAGTGTTGTTTGTAGGCCTACAGCTACCAGAATCTCAATTTATGTGGTAATGGGATTTCTCTTTCATCTGATGATATTCATTTGGATTAATAAATATAATATAGAAAATGATTTCATGTTTCTGTATTTTTGTTTGTTGATCTATTGCCATCAGTCTTAATAATATTATTGACTACAGTACCTACTACCATAACTTTACTAGTGATTTTTGCTACCTACTTCCACTACTGGCTATACCATTTCTGTTTCTCGTTCGCTGCCACATCACAGGCAACCATTACTGCTTCTTGCTGTCACTTTGTTTTATTTTGTTATTCTTTCTTACGGTTACCACTTTACTGGCTACAGTGTTTTATTTCTACTTCTTCATGCCACTTGACTGGTTCTTTATATCATACTACTTGATGCTGCTTCACAGTGGCCATCATTTATGCTATGTACTGAAAATTCACTTGCTGTAACATCCTTGCTGCTACAAATTGAATATTTTACTACTTCTTTTTTGGAAGCTGCTGATGCTACACCTTTAAAACTACTGTATTCTTGCTGCTAATGCATTTTTAGCAACAACTGCAAATAGACTCGCATCAATTTTGTTATACACAGATAGTGAAAAAAAATATTGTACTTAACTACAGCTTACTTACAACATTCGTTGACTTGCTGCCACTGCACTGCTATATTATTCCTGATTCTTGCTGCCATTTCACTGGCTATTTCATTATTGTTCTTTGCTGCCACTTGACTGCCTAGTCCTAATTGCTGCTTCACAGTGGCTCTAATATTGCAGCTTTTCACTGACACTGCACTCTATTTTACTTCCATATCACTGGCTATTTTCCTGATTCTTGCTAACACTTCACTATTCCTGATAGTTGCTGCCATAATATCACTAGCTACTGTACCGTATATCATTCATGCTCTCTGCTTCCACATGACTGGCTATTATACCTATTACTTGGTGCTTCACACACTGGCTATATCATTCCAGCTTCTCACTGTCACTGCACTATATTTACCTCCTGATACATTTTGCCTCATACAAATTAATAGCACACTTTTGGCAGTACTTTTAATTAAAAAATCTTTGGTTGTAATTGTATTTTTTCAGTACTTTAGTCAAACTATCTAAAGCGATTGCATTAAATGCTCAGCGTCTTAAGTCATTTTTTTTTTCTTTTTCTTTTTTTTTTCTATTTTTTTTCTTTTTCTTTTTTTTTCCTTTTTCTTTTTTTTTCCTGACTCAACAAACTAAGCATTTAATGTTACCATCTTCTGATTTTCACTAAAGATCAATATAAGTAATTATACTGTAAGTATACTTAATATAAGTAATTGCATTGAATACGCAGCATCTTAAGTCATTTTCTTATTTTTTCCCCCCTTTCCTTTCTTTTTTTTCCGACTTAACAAACTAAGCATTCAATGATACTTTTTACTTATAAAATGCCATACTTGATATATAAAAAAAATTATTAGCTAGGTAACTTTTAGAAATACTTTTGCTAATGTAACTTTAGATGTATTCCAGTACATTTTACTTTAGTCAAATTATCTAAAAGTGACTGCATTAAATACTCAGCATCTTAAGTCATTTTCTTTCTTTTTTTTCCTTTCTTTTTCTTTCTTTTTTTTTTTTCTGACTCAACAGACTAAGCATTTAATGTTGCCATCTTCTGATTTTCACTGAAGTTGTCAGTTATTAGCTTTAAGTAATGCATTGAATCCATAGCATCTTAAGTTGTTTTTCTTTTCTTACTTCCTCTTTATTTTTTAATCAACAAACTAAGCATTCAAAATGGTGTACATTAAATATATATAAAACTACAAAAATAATAGCACACTTTTATTGCATTAAATACTCTATACTTTCATTTTTGTTTTACAACAAATTAAGCATTTAACGTTGCCATCTTTTTTTCACTAATCAGTTGTTAGCTTTAAGTAAATTGCATTGAATACGCAGCATCTAAGTAATTTTTTGTTTTGTTTTGTTTCTCTTTTTTCCAGACTTAACAAACTAAGCATTCAATGTTACTTTGACTTCATGAAGTACTGTACTTGACATATAAAAATAATAGATAGGTAACATTTGAAATACTTTGGATGTAGGTCTTATTACTTCAGTACACTTGAGACAAATTATCTAAAAGTGATTGCATTAAATACTCAGCACCTTAAGTCATTTTCCCCTTTTTTCTCTCTTTTTTTCTGACTCAACACACTAAGCATTTAATGTTACCATTTTCAATAAAAGTTGTCAGTTATATGCTCTTTCACTGAATACACAGCATTTTCAGTCTTTTTACTTTACTTTCTCCTTTTTTCGACTCAAGAAACTAAGCATTCAATGTGTTACTTTGACATATAATATGCTGTACTTCAAATATTAATAAAAATTGTTAGATAAGTAACATTTAGAAATATTTTTTACTACATAAACTTTAGACCATTGATGTTTTATTTCTTTAGTAATTTTTTTTGGACTAAGCATTCAATTTTATCATTTTCTGATTTTAACTAAAGTTGTCGTAGTCGTTACCGTTTTTAGTAACTGCATTGAAATTAGCCTTTAAGTTATATTTCTTTTTTTCTCTGACCCAACAAACTAAGTATTCAATTTTATCATCTTCTGATTTTAACTAAAGATGTCGTAGTCATTACCATTAAGTAATTGCATTGAATAATTAGCCTTATAAGCTATAATTCTTTTTTCTCTAACCCAACAAACTAAGTATTCAATGACTACTGATGATGGCAATTATCCACTTTTGAATTCCCTGACATCAGTACTGTAGTCTGTTGAGTAGTGTAGTGTGACGACTCTAGGATATATTGCGGGTGGGGGGGGGAGTAGCTAAGCTGTCTGACAGGGCGACTTGAGCTTGTACGCCCAAGCTGGAAGAAGGGTTTAAGACTTTAGAGGGGGTTCTTCTCCCAAATGAGATTTTTTTTAAAGAATAGGAACCTCTGGATGGCCGCAAATAGCACTCTTAGACTGTGACAGACAATTGTGTTGACTTGGTATACGGTAGGCCTATTTTTATATTTTTTATGGTCTGACAGCCTGACGAGCTCTCTCCAACAGGGGGTTTGACCTGTCCAGTGGGGGCTTAAGCCCCAGCTTTCCAATCCCCACTGGCACCGCCACTGGTAGTGTAGGAACTGGGAGGTATAAAAGTAATATTTTTATACCTCCCTGTGGAGTACTGTACCGGTATGTGGCCTAGTTCAGACTAGGTGGATAAACCCGGCTCAACTCAACCGGGGTTTATCCACCTGCCTGTCTGAACTAGGTGGAATTATCTCAAGTCGGGCTGTGTTCCTATAGTAACTAGGTCTGGCGCTCCACCGTGTTTAACTTTTCTAAGCCGGGCTTTAATCGTTGCGGGGTCTTGCATTGACTTCGGGTGACAAAATGACCAATCAGCATTCAATTACGTACGCTGTGAGCGAGCGTACGTTTCGTGAGCAATGTTTTGAAACATGTTTCCTGGTTACGGTTCATTATTATGCAAATTCTTGCCTGGGCTTAATTCAGTCTGAACTGTAGCCTCAGTATGATATTGGGCCTAAACTAGAATTGAACATTGTGTAGATATATATATTATATAGGCCTAGGCTAGTCTAGCCGGCTAGGTTGTGGTCCTGACTATTGAATGACATACCTTTTGTATTCTGCCGAGCTTAGGCAGGCTCTGGGCCTAGGCTCTGTAGTGTAGGGCATTTGGAGGAGGACAGTGGGGGCTTAAGCCCCAGCTTTCCAATCCCCACTGGCACCGCCACTGGTAGTGTAGGAACAGGGAGGTATAAAAGTAATATTTTTATACCTCCCTGTGGAGTACTGTACCGGTATGTGGCCTAGTTCAGACTAGGTGGATAAACCCGGCTCAACTCAACTGGGGTTTATCCACCTGCCAGTCTGAACTAGGTGGAATTATCTCAAGTCGGGCTGTGTTCCTATAGTAACTAGGTCTGGCGCTCCACCGTGTTTAACTTTTCTAAGCAGGGCTTTAATCGTTGCGGGGTCTTGCATTGACTTCGGGTGACAAAATGACCAATCAGCATTCAATTACGTACGCTGTGAGCGAGCGTACGTTTCGTGAGCAATGTTTTGAAACATGTTTCCTGGTTACGGTTCATTATTATGCAAATTCTTGCCTGGGCTTAATTCAGTCTGAACTGTAGCCTCAGTATGATATTGGGCCTAAACTAGAATTGAACATTGTGTAGATATATATATTATATAGGCCTAGGCTAGTCTAGCCGGCTAGGTTGTGGTCCTGACTATTGAATGACATACCTTTTGTATTCTGCCGAGCTTAGGCAGGCTCTGGGCCTAGGCTCTGTAGTGTAGGGCATTTGGAGGAGGATAGACTTGTTGAGAAAAGGTACAATGCAGATATTGCTGTGTAGTTTATCATTCCTTCCAGCTTTACGGGTACAAAAAGGCCTAGGACTTAGTCTAGTAGTAGTAGAAGACTAGTACTCTAGTAGAGCCTGAGGGCCTACCTAGGCAGGCCACATTCTCTTTTGTGGTGCTCATTCATCATAACATAGCATAGGCCTCCTACCTAGGCCTAGCCAGTGTCGGATTCTTTAACAATAACATTATGTGAGTAGATTAAATCACGCGAATTATTCAAAATAAATTATATGATTATGTATACATGACCTTAACACTCTCGTAAGTTCGATAATTCTCCCAAAAAATATTTGTGTGTGTGTGTCCATCTATCTATCTTGGCTCTACAGAAACCACAAAAAATGATGTCCAAACACGCTTTGTTGATGTGTTTATACAGACTAGGCGTGCTGTGTTTGATCGGTTGCTATAGTATCATCTACACTCCAGATTTCCTATTGGTTGAAAGTTTCCCATTATACACATTGCCCGGAAACATCTTGTAAACACCACGCGCGCGATCGCGTTAAACCTCTGCAGCTAGCAACGGATCGAGAAATAATGCGAAACCATGTGCGAAACAAGGTTCCTCCTCTTTCCAATCGTATTTCTATCACACGTTGCTATTAAAAATCATTTCTAAACTTGGACATAGATCAGCCATGAATAAAACTTCTATCTGCCGTTATTTCTTATTAAAAAATAGTACCATCATCGAGCAAAGTAAGTCAGTTTCAAAGTGAACCTCGTTTTTTCCCCTTTGTCCAAAATCAGCTTGGATAATGAACGCAATTTATGATTCCATTAACCAAACTTGTATATGCGCAATATAGCCTATTGTAACTATTATTAATGTAGGGCCTACTGAACATTACAGTTGAATATCATACGACCTTAACGTTCTCCTAAGTTCCATCATACTTGCAGATTTGTTGGGTAATGCCAAATAGGCCTACTTGATCTTGTTTCTTTTGAGAAACACCACCGAAAATTATGTTCATTCACGAATTGTCGATGTTTATCAGTTTGATCGGTTGCTATAGCGTTATTCGCAGTTCACGTTTCCTATTGGTTGAAAGTTACACATGATACCGTTGCCCAGAAACAACTCGTAAACACAACGCGCACGATCGCGTTCAACAAACATCACTCTACTACGCGTTGTAACGGATCGCTGAAATGGCGAAAAGGGGTTTAAACCTTATATTTTTTTCCACCGATTTTAAAATATCTGCTGAAAACTAAATAAGCCTTTGGTTAGATCAGCTGGGATTACGATCGAATTGAGAATCGACTCGACTAACCAAAAGTTATTACGTGCCCATTGACTCTGTTGAAAGTAAAACTATATTACCGGTAATGTATCCCTAGCCTATTTTCCCAACAAATACAAGTTACAGGTCTCCCTCCAATTAAAGACCACTTTTTTTCTCCCCGACGAATTGTATTTTCTCTCCCATCCCTGTTTAAATTGTAATGCATGATATAATTACTCCAAACTCATTATTAAATTTACATTTATTTGAAGATAATATACACTACCTATTGTAGAAAAAATAAAAGCCCTCAAAAAATTAGTTAAATAATTAATTAAAATTGTGTTTGGTTCTAATTTACAATTTCAAAGGTAATACAGTAACTTGCTAAGTACGGTACGGTACTGAATTTTAAATGCTTTGTAAAGACCTTATGTACGCCTAAGCTTAATTATGTTTTTAAAACTGTCAATCATTATGTATTACAGAGTGCTCAAACTTTTCTTTTCGTTTCGTTTGTCTGTTTATTACAAGTATAAATTTGTTGCTGTAATTATTTGTATCGCAATTATTATGCCTAATTACATAAAAAGTAAAATGAAAGTTATTCTTCCTCAATGCATCGGTTAAAATAAATTTGAAGCTATAGAACTGAAATAAATTAATTTAATTTTTAACTTTCAATATTTAATTCAGTTATCTTCAGAGTTTATTGCTGTACAATTCAATCAATCTTCAGGTTTAATTGAATTCTTATATGACCAGACCTCGATCTTGACCTAGCATGTGGTAGATACGGTAAATCTTAGTATCATTTAACAATGGGAGGAAGAATTAAGACCGCAATATATAAAAGTACATTATTAAACTTGGAAACACCGTCCGGACGTTGGACGGAAAACGACAGTTTGAACTGATAAAAGTGAAATTGACGATTATGATTTCAATTCACGACATGCAATCGCTTTGACCTAGTTCATACAGATCATCATCGTCACTCATGATGATAGGCCAATGAGTCATGTTCAAATAAAACCACCATATCTTGTCAAGATTAACAATATTTATATTTAATAACCTACAACATTCGGAAAGACCAACTGGCACTGGCTATTTAGGTATGTAGGGCATAAATTGTTGACGACAGATCTGAAGTACTTTATCCTGCATAATATTCCTTCCCCTGTATTCTGAGGTAAACGAACACCTCAGCCGAGTCTCAGATAATAATACTTGTTGGATCGCACTCGCACACTCCCACCCTCACCTTCTCCCCTCCACCGGCATAATATTCTGGACCCTTGATGTTGACAGGCGCGAATCCAAGGGGGGGGGGGCACCTGGCCCGGGGTCCCCTTTAGGAAAGTCAAAAAAGGACCTGGCCCGGGGTCCACTTTAGGAAAGTCAAAAAAGAAAAAAAAAAGAAAAATGATCGGCATTAATCCTAGAGGTTATTTTCGGGCGTCTAGAACGCAGAAATTTCGCGGGGGAATTCCCCCGGACCCCATAGGGTATTTCTATCTCGATCTGCCCCACTTTTGTCCCCTTACCTCTCCTCATTTCTGGTCCCTTCCCCTCCCTTTTTTGACATCTCTGGATCCGCCCTTTTAACAAATTGATAACACGCATATAGGCCTATATATACTTTATATTATATATAATGTATATACCATATTTAATCTATATTATTATGTAGTAGGCTTGAAAAAAAGAAAATATATACAGTATTTGTCAAAAAAAATGTACTGTTTAATATTAGAAGGTAAGGCCTACCGGACACTTTACACGTTGCCCTCATTTAACCTATTGAGCATTGACCTCAATTCAATTCAATTCAACAACCTCTCGTTGGACCGACGACGTGACCGTGTGTGTGTTTGTTGGTTTTGTTGGGAAGCTGGAGAGGTGGTTTCTGTTTTTTCGTACTGTATAGCCTAAATGTAGCAGGTTATAAACTAAGTTTCGGTATTACTGCAAGGTTGGTAAATATCACAGAATATATTATGTCTTGTCGATTGTCATTGGAGCGTGATGTCGTTTAGGTTTTCGTGATTTAATTTCCAGAACAACGTCTGAGCCAAGCTGCTAGGCCTGCCAAGTCAGTCCTTCCTGTGTTTTTTTTTCTGGCACTGGAGCAGATTAGATTTTTATGCCTGGCTCACAGTTGGCCTAGCCTAATCTAGGCCTAGGGTAGGCCTTCGTATGACGACATAACTAGGCCTAGAAAAATACACTTATAAATATACTTTACAATCATCAATTAGAATCACAGCCAAATGAAATTGTAATTTGAGTGAATTAAATGGAATATTATAGCATTAGATTAGGATGATTGATTTTAGCATTGAAGTTTAGTTTAGCCTGGTTTTTGTAAAATTCCTGTACTGTATACTTGACCAATACTAAAAAATAAGACTTGTGCAGGATCCCCCCACAAAAATTAGGTCTAGAATTCCGCCCACGTATTCCCGGAAATAAGGGCTGATTTCTGTCTAAGTTTTTTCCCCAAAAATTAGGAATAGGCCTACAGACAGTATCTCTTATTAATACAACCAAGGCAGTAAATATGATTCCGCACACCGATTTGCCTAGTGATTTTCCACGCAAATTTGAGTTGGTTTTTTAGGTATCCTCTGCACAAAAAAAAACTGTGGTACCTGACAGTTGTTGAGGATGCTAGATCATGATTTTAGGAAAATGCTTGATATTCATGATCAATCATGCGAAGTATTGTGTTGATTGACATAGTTACCTTGCTATCCAGTGTATTTAAACATTTTTTAAAGTTTAAATTAATTGTTTATCATTATTTGTTTTGTTTATTAAATTATATAACGTATTAAAATAATTTTTTATTACTTTTTGTAATTTGTAATTTATGTAAATAATTTAAATTGTTATATTTGTTTAATTTTATTTTAAATGTAGTAATTTAATTTGTAGTTGTACAATTATGCCAAGTACCCCCTCCTCTAATATACTTATCCTATAGGACGTTTTGTGTAGAAAGTATTTATGATGGAATATACGTTTAAAATGTAAAAATAACCTGGAATTTTTATTCTAATTATTGATATATTCCTATCACTGTATTAGCTGATTGGTTGATACACTAGTTGAGATGCCAGCATATTTTACTATACAAATTACAAAATGCTTTTGAGAGTTACTTGTTGTGGCGCCCTCTATGTTCGTAGTCAGTATGCTACTTAATTATATACCAACTAAAGGTGACTTACCATAGCGCAGCGACAAGGAATTTGGTGGACTGTGTTAAAAAATCTGCCAATATGTTGTCCTTGCTTGTGTCCTATGGAAAACTCTGTTTTAAAAATTTACCTCGTCTTTCGTCTTTCGGAAGGGTTGTTAAGCCATTGGTCCCATATGGATATTAGCATGTGCATCAAAAATAGTACTGTGCACTATTCAAATACCAGTAGGGGATTATAGTATCTCATGTTACATTGACCATGGTACTGTAGGTGTTGCACTGTGACTACCATGGCTTAAACTTGACTTCCCTTTTCTCAATAAGTAGGCCTCATGGCCTACCATACATTTAAGTTTACATAATATAACAAACTTTCATTCTATAGAGTAAAGTAAAAGTTGAAAACCTATAGTGCTTGTGAAATGTGATATACCTGCATGTTTATGAGTAAACATTGTCGGTAGAAATGGTACAGTAGACTGGTATCTCTAGCAGTGGCAGATCTGTAAAGGATGGCAAAAGGTGTGTTTGCCTTCCCCCTCCCCCCACAATCTCACCTCCTTGCTGTGGAAAAAAACATTGTGAAATCATATGGGTATTGGAAGTACGGTAAATGGCTAAAATTTTGAAGCTTCCAGAGGTGCATACTGTAGTTTTTTGGACCTCCACAATTGCTAGAACACCCAAAAACCTTCCTCTCTCGACCATAGATTCTGCCACCTTCTGACTTTAGGTCCTCGATTGCCACTAGCACCACCCTATCAAAAACAATTCTGGATCTGCTAATGGTCCAGGTAAGCGTCATCATGACATCATCATCACCCAAAATATTGAATTTAATCACAAATCGTTTGTGCTAGTTACCTCAGCCAAGGAGGTATTCAATGCTGTTTGACTGTTAGTAAGATTACGCAAAAACTTGAATGAATGGACCATCATAAAATTTGACACCTTTGAATTTTTGGAAGAAAAATCAAAGGACAATGTCATGGAAATTTGATTTTTTACCCTTGAGCATAAAAGAAAATAATGGAATCACACATCACATTCAGGCAGCAAACAAGAAAACAATGTGCCTGAATATTACAGGGCGATTCCATTATTACATTGAGGGTATGCTTTATTTTCATCCACCATACACGGCCTGCGTATTGTTGGTACTGTATTAAGGCGCAGGGCGGAGGTAGGCACTCTATGGAATGTAGTTGACATCTAAGTGATTGGTCGATACCAGTTCTGTTGCTAAAGTTGGTATTTACTGTAGGGGAAATTGTAATTTCTTCTGCATGTAAGGGAAGAATGACTCACGAAGCAGATGTAATATGGTGTTATTGTACCTTCAAGTCAATGACCTCTACACTGCTTACATAAATCACATCAAGTTATGTACATCAACAACCTTGATATATTTGCGAAAGATTTAATTTTTTCCTCCCGCTGCCTATTGATTATTGACGCAATTCCCTTAATGTCGCGTTTCTTAGAGAATATTATCAAGGTAATTGAGGTGTGTGTTGCGTGCACGTAGCCAACATAACAATTTTCAAATGTTGCTTGTGAATTATTTATGATATAATAGATGGCTGATTAGATAGATAGTGGAATGGTAATGCATTGTAATAAAAGCAAGAATAGGAAATGAGATAAGCATTTATGAAAGGAGAAATATTAACTGCTTATGTAAAGATGAAAGAACAAAGCCAATGAGAGTATTTTTATGGATGGTAATTTAAATTTAGTATTAGCAAATAATAATTTTATAATTTTAAATTTATTGAACTTTGCTAATGTAATGGAGAACACATTTCCTTTATGGTATGTTACAGCCTAATGAAATTTTATCTATAAGATAATTGCAATGATGATGATGATAATACTTATTTTTGAAAAATTAAGTGATTAATAATTTCCTAAAAGCTAGCCTTCGTCAGGCAATTAACTGATGTTGTTTGCAATTCAGGTAATAATAATAATAATAATAATTGACATTTATAATGCGCTATACGCCAGCAAGCCGACCCCAGAGCGCATACAATCAATCATATTTAAACAATACAATACAGAACACATCATAAAAGAGAAATTCATCCAACAGTGTGCAATACAAAAATCGAGAAACATATTTACAATATTTATCATTTAAAAATAACACCAGAAACGTCAAATGGAATAATTTCAAATGGTAACAATAATTCAATTAATTCACTCTATTTACATTAATTTGATTATTACAAAAATATATTATTACAAAAATATAGTATATGGGAGAGGCTATTGGACAATATAGAAAATACAAGACTTCATGTAAACAGCATCTACTGTTCATAACAGGTTTGTCCTTTGTAGTTGATAGTTGTTGAAATATCGCAAGTACTGTAAGTCTGCTTGTTGTTGTGTTCTTTGGTTTAGGGAAAACAAAAATACATTGCACCCTCGAGAACTGTTTAATTCAAGACTAATTTCCAAAGACCCAAATAACCATCTTCAATCTTTCAACACAAAGCTAACCCTCTATTTGGACACTGAACCCTGACACCACCCCAAATTGTTAGGTCCCAAAGACAGTCTCAATTTGGAGAGTGAATTGTAATTTGCTACATTGTCATTTATGAAGAAAGGGTACAATTTTGGTACAATATGTGTAATCAATTGTTTTGTATTTTTGATAGAATCTCAACCTGAGAGAGACATTTTATTCAGCTTCACTGATATTTCACCATACTAAATTTTATTAACATTCCAGAAAAATCCATTTTCTTTGATAATCCTGTATAAAAGTCCGATTAGATATTATTGTTCAGACAAAAATCTGAGTGTGTCGCTTAAGGTGTACTGTTTCTCATTTTTTTTTATTACCCCTCCACTCCTACCCAGTGGTTTATTTAGGAGCCGGCGGCTGGCGCATTCAATCGGCTGCTACTGTACGATGTTTTCGCCGGCAACTTCAATCATGGTGTACAAAAATTAATACAAAAACCACCAATATAACAGGTCTGTCAAGAACCTTATTTACCTACACGAAGTTAATTTGAAAATATTAGACAATTATATGCACTCATTTCGATGTTCTTTTCTGTTAAAAGTTTGTTAAAATTTCTACCAATTTTCAGACTCCACGTTAGACATTTGTGAACTCGCTGCGTAAACAAAGTTAAAGTTCAAAGTTTGGTAGTCGCGTCTGGGTGAGTCCATAAAAAATGCCACGCCTTCAAATCACATGTTAGCCAATAAGATAAGAGAAATATCTCCTTCTACGTGCTCTGGTGATGATGACATACACTACATCGCCCAAACTTTCCTTCCTTACATTGGGCATCCAGGTTTTCTCACCACGGAGAAGAAAAAACAGATCGTCATTTTAAAATTAATTTGTGTATGACCATGAACCTTTTATTTTCCTTTTATTTTTCTATGTTAAACATGATAATTATTAAATGCTAAACCGTTTAACATCACACAGTATTAGAATGTTTTTACTAGCCCTCTTTGTGATGAAATAATTATTTCGGAAAGGATAAATAAAAAAAAAACAACACTCAAATTCGTTTACTGTACCTTCGGTGGCGGAGGTAGCAAGCTGAACAGACTTCTTGAATGTTGTTTACACTCACAATTTCAGAGTCATCATAGATAGTACAAAGCAAGCCAAAATTGTCTCGATTCACATCACATGAGGTGTGATTTTTTTACACCTATACAAAATCAGTATTTTTTTCCAGTGTGATATCCATTGTTTTTCGATATCTATGTACATTTTAGAACTATTT